ATGTTAAGTTTTAAAGATAAACCTAAATATTCTATAGCTTCATTTAGTTGATTATAGTCGTGATAGGTATTATGGTACCATAATATGATCTTTATTAGAAACCCAGTTACCAAAAGTAATCTCCACTGGAATCTAACCAACTATCTGCACCTTGAGCCCATTAAGTCGCAGCAGGATACATTATACTTAATGAACTGGCATGAAAAGTAACTATGTTATATAAATAAAAAAGGTAGCATAATTCACAACATAACATGAATAACGACGTAACTCACAGCATTTTATTACACTACTAACATGATTGAATACCTGATAAAACATTAATAGCTCATACGATAACTCATATGGCGTCACAGCATCGCTTATACCATAACTCATATAGTGTCACAGCATAGCTTATACCATAACTCATATAGCGTCACAGCATAGCTTATACCATAACTCATATAGCGCCACAACATAGCTTATACCATAACTCATATAGCGTCACAACATAGCTTATACCATAACTCATATAGCGTCACAGCATAGCTTATACCATAACTCATATAGCGTCACAGCATAGCTTATACCATAACTCATATAGCGTCACAGCATAGCTTATACCATAACTCATATAGCGCCACAACATAGCTTATACCATAACTTATATAGCGTCACAACATAGCTTATAAAATAACATATTCGTAGCTGAATCAAGGTACAACCAAACCATGATTCATAACATAACTGACATCATAGCGTTTCTGTAACATAACTCATCTTACAACACGTGTAAATAACGTAAAACTCAAAACATCAATTAACTCATAATATAACATAAGATAACTAAAAATTAATAAAACCTGAGTAACGAAGTAAGTGTTGAATAACAGCAAATGGCATATTTTTGGTCAGAAAGTATCGGACTAAGGTACCTTCTGTTTTTAATTAGTCAGTACTAATTACTGTAGTAGGTAGATACTAAGTTTTAACAGATACTACTCACTAGTGTGTTACTATAAAAAGAATAAAATACCCTACATCGCCTTCAACTTCCTTCATCTCAGCACCACTCTTAAAGCATCCTTGATAAACGTTAGCTTCCATATTATTATGCAGTCGTCCATATGCAAACGTCTAAATACCAAACTATCAGCTGATCAACCAAACCGGATATATTTCGTCAGCATTCTAGCACAGCCCCGTTCTAATGACGTTATTTCTAGTAAATCGAAGCGTGTCACGTTGGATTTGTTTTTTTTTTTACTCCAAAAACGAATTGTGGGATATCGTCTTCGACGAGGTTTTCATATTGCTCTTGTGGTTTGGCTATTCTAATTATCAGAAGTAAAAGGATGATTGTAATTCAAAATATTTCACTAAAATCCAATCACAGACTTCATCCCATATTTTATGTTTTTTGATTTTTTGTTAGAAACAGTCCGTGCCTTATTTAAACCAAGAACAGCACACGGTTGACCTTTGTTGTGTGTTCTCTTGTAGATCTACGATGAAGCATTCGAAGATTAACATTTATTTAGACTGGAAGAGAATAGAATATAAGTTATGTTAATATCAAATTATCGCATTGTCAGATTTTGTTTATTCTAATGTTCTGTTATCTATCAGTTTATTGTAAATCTAGGCCGTGACTCACTGAAGGTAAATAGTTGAAATTAAGAGTAGAAAACCAGCATATATAAAATATGCATTTCTTAAAGGGATATGGCCGCCTAAATATTAATTTTAAGAATGGAAATCTGTAGTTTTCTGTGATTTTAGAAAATTATAAGAGTGTGGCGACACATTTTTTACCGTTCTCATGTGTATGTATTATTGAGAGCGCATATTTGAGCTTTATCGAATAACTGTCAAATAAATAGTTGAAATTAAGAGGAGAAACCAGTATACAAAATATGCTTAAGTGATAAAGTTGTCTAAATATTAGCTTTCCCGGTAGTGAATTCATTTTCAGCTGTCTGTATCATTTTTCCAGAGTGGAAATCTGACACAGAGAGACAATAATCCGGAGGAAGTGTGTGTTCCGGGTTGTAGTCTGTCTTTTAACAGATAGAAATCGAAAAAAATGCGCTAATGCTTATGTACATCATTGCTTTTGAAATTCTGACAATAATATATAGAGAAAAGAAGGACACAAAACTCTGTTTCATTTAGATACTGATATCGGAGTACCAGGGGCATATCTTGGAAATTCCTGACGGATAGTTGCGGGAAGGGGGAAAATGAAAAGTGTCTCTCCCCATTAAATATGCCACTGTAGAGTACCACTGTTACGCAATTCATAGTTATCAGCTGTTAAAGCGACATATTGTATCCTCGTCAGTTACTATGTAACTATGATATAAAAATATATAAATTGATAAGATCTCAGCTGTAATAACTGAAAATGTTTGAGATATCAATTATAAATATTATCATACATTGATAGAGTAATTATACTGTACCACATTACCTTGTCGTAGACCCAAATATAGAAACATTGAATACAGATGTTCCAGAACAGTCTGCAACCAAAATAACAAGTTACATAGCTCTCGGATACGATAACGTTACATAGCTCCTAAATACAATAATGTAAATACACTTCTCAGAATACAGATCACAACGTTAACTTTACAGCTCTCAGATACGATAACGTTACACAGCTCTCAGTTACGATACAATAACGTCACATAGCTCTCAGTTAGGATAACGTTACATAGCTCTCAGTTACGATAACGTTACCAAGCTCACAGATACGTTAAAATGTTACCCGCAGACACCAAGATATAGGACAAAGAGACATATATAATTCACACTTGACAACAAAATATACTTTATTCAACAAAATTGAGTACCCGCCGAGCGGAAACAGGTATCGGTACAGTAGATAAGGATACTAACACCTAGTATCTTTCATTCAAAATCTCCCTAATCTCCTCTTACTATGTAAGCCTCACTACTTACATAGGGAACCTGTTCCTTCAGACTTCTGTGTTCTAGAGTCTCAGTGTTTCTGTGAATTCAAATGACAGAGTTCCTCGAATGAAAGAAATTAAACTCTATTTATACATTTTGAGTGCCCCATAAACCGACTTGCCTGGTACTCTTATGAGTTAAAATAATACATTAAAAATACGAACCCAAGCCCTACCCTATTAAAATGCATATCACATGAAAGCTAATGACTTGTAGCATATTGTGAACATATAATAAAATGGAAATAAATACGACCCATGCTTGGCCCACTTATCTAAAGGTGAATTTCAACATGATTATCTCCCTTTAGTGAAAAATACAGTAAAACTGAGTATAAGGGAACCTAGCTGAATTAAACATTAAAATATAACAAAAAAATGAAATAAAAGGACAAATTGACCAAGACCAAGTAGGTAATTAACAAATGAAAAATGGTCACAAAAAGCTCTCAGGTACAATAACGTTACAAAGCTCTAAGATACGATGACGTTACAAAGCTCTCAGATACCATAACGTTACATAGCTCTAAGAATACAGATGTCCTGCAACACTCTATCACCAGAATGATGTTGCATAGCTCTTAGATTACGATCAAGATAACGTTACACCAGCTCTCCGAATACTGTTTGATAATGACACATTTTTACTTCAGGATAGTATCAAAAGCCAAACACTCAGTTGCACCATCGGTCAAACCAGTCCTACCGGAAGTAGGCAACTGCGAGCAAGATTTTTTGAGACTACGCAGGAATAGTCACAATTTACATCCTTTAAGCGAATTTGACGTCGGATTTTTGAATTTGTCCTACCACAGTGATTACCCTTTTATTTCTTTTTTAAAAATCCCTGTATAATGTGTTTAAATTGCTTTGACCATCAAAATAAGGAGTTGCTAAAAACACAAGCATGAATAAGTGAATATCATGGTTCATTTTGACAGCTGTGAGTACAGATCTTCTACAATTAGATGTATGAGAGATTCAGATGTTGGACATATAAAACCATATTTATATTATATTTGATACAAATAATTAGACTGTTTTAGAAACCTGGTAAAGACAAACTTTTCATACTGCAGTCAGATGGTAGCCATCTTGAGTTTGGATTTAACAGACTACAGATACCTTTATAGATCCGATGTTTTTACAAAAATATCGTAAACATAAGGTGCCTGTAAACGCGCAGTAGGTTGATTTTTATTGTAAATTAATTGATCAGAAGTCTTAATGAAAGTCACAAAGTTAGGGGACTGGTCCAGAAAGAAGCATTTCAATTTTAACCAGCTGAACAATTGTTACTTTATTAATTATTTTTTAGCCACGTTTGAGAAGTTACGTTTTTCGGATATGGTTGTCTATGTCAGATGCTTCTTTAAATACAATTCTAAATTGGATGATATACAACAAGTAATTAAATGCACAACTAATCTTTTACCAGTTAATCATACCCTAATCAATTTGGAACATTAATAACATCCTCCGCCTTCTGTTTGATTTCGGAATTAAATTAAGTTACTAATGATAAAATTTTGGAAAAAATTCTCAATATGACGTTACCTTTCATTCAAGGTAGTAATTACTGCGAGGTCACCGTGACACGAAGCTTACTGCGAGGTCACGACGACATAAAGCTTTTTGCAAGGTCATAAAGTCTAGGATTTTGGAAAAAGAAATTATCAAAATCTTTCTCTCTTTGTTAACCACAATCTAACCACAGACATTGGTTGTTAGGGAGAATGTTATGCAATTAAGATAACCGGATGTCAGCCATCTTGAAATTTGAAAATGTGCAATTAACATTCTTCTTATATCTTTTCAGGTTATGGCCATGTGGCACCAAAAACAACATTAGGTCGAATCGTTACCATTGGTTATGCTGTATTGGGAATTCCTTTAACTTTGTTGTGTCTAACAAACATAGGTGACGTCATGGCCACTGGATTTAGACTGTTGTACGGTAAAATCTGTTGTGGAGTGTGTTGTAAACTGTTCCGTCCACGAAGACGGAGAATAAAAATTCCGGATCCGGAGAAGGGAATAAGTCGCGTGATTGACGCTGATGACCAAGAGAGTGATAAACCGAAAGAAGTAATTCACGTGCCGACATCATTGTGTATATTATTGATAGCTGGTTACATCTTCTCCGGTGCTTTACTATTTTCACTGTGGGAAAACTGGGATTACTTAACCGGATCCTATTTCTGTTTTATTACATTGAGTACTATTGGATTCGGAGATATTGTGCCGGGGACGGACCTACAAGCATGGGCTGGTGAAGAAAAGCTAGTACTATGTGCGCTATATCTAGTATTTGGACTATCGTTGATAGCTATGTGTTTTAATCTCGTTCAAGAAGATGTTAAAGCCAAGTGTCGATGGCTCGGAATGAAAATGGGTATCATTGATAAACCGAAAACTGGTGTCTAGCGGACAATATTCGGCAATAGTGGTTGTAACTAATTAAAGGATGAATGGATAACATAATCGGGAACTCTAAATTATATCTTTGTACAGCCCAAATTATCCACATATCCACAATAAAAAGCTGATTTTGTGTTTTGTTCAAATGGAATATTTTGAAGTGTGTAATATTCAATATTCAAAAATTGGCTTCGGCTTCGTGTATAATATTTCATTCTTCAAGCTTATGACTTGAAGCACGAGTCACAAATAGTAACCAATTTATACTTGACTGAAGCTATATTTCACACGTTGCAAAATATAGTAATCTGATTGGTCAAACTATTCAAAATTTCCTGGAACACGATAGCGTGACAAAAACGTCATGGGTCACATGATGTGTGACTAATACAAGTTAGGGACGTTAAAAATGCTGGCGAAATTACTTTTTTCAGAAGTAGATCTATGAAAGCAAAACAAGGACTAAAATGGAAAATATATATTTCTTAGAATAAAACACTGTTTGAATTTGGTGATATTTCGTCAGAGTGTGGAATGTTGACGTTGCACTTCATTTTCTTAACAATGTGCCTTACATTTAAAATTTTGATTTCATTGGCACGTGTGCATACTTTATTATTTTTCACTTTCGTTTCTTATGAGTTTTTATGCGAAATTTGTAAACTATTTCCACCTTATTCATGTCACAACACGCCCACTCAAACAACCAAACACGAAAAGTGCATTTTATGCCAAGAAATTCTATAAAAACAGAAAAAAATAAATGTTATAAATATGCTGCAGGTTTATAGATATTTTATGTAACATTTTACTCCAATATACTCGTATTTACAATACAATGTGGTTTGATAGTAAAAATGTCACAATTATTGCGTGACGCAATGTGCAACAGCGTGACTGAGTGTGACGAATTGTGACACTGTGTGACAGGAGTGTGACACAACGTGACGTAACATAAATTTAGAAGAAATAATATAACGCACTTGCACATTATCGGTTAAACCATTACTCAAATTGAAATTGTAGTTTCGTTTTGTTTTGTTACCTATTGTGATGTTGAAATTCCAGAATTTTTGCATATCCTGAATATGTATATACTTATCATAAATTGTGCACTACGTTGTTCACATTTGCAATATATTTATATCATTGTTGGTGTTTTTCGTTTTTTAGAAGGGACCTTAAATATTTCCCCCGAATTTTCAATCTGATTACCCCGTTACTTCCGGTTGAAGGAACTGATATGAAAGATCTTTCCTGTGTTCATGAAGGATATCTGAACGACAACTTAGCAAGTCGGGGACACCGTATAGGCATATGTCGATTTTCACTAGCCTTAAAAAAAAATCCTAAAGATATTTATGAATGAATACATACAAGTTTAAGACTTTAAGTATCTTCTTTATTTTTTGATATAACAATAAATACCAAATAAATAATATTAGATTTGTGGACTCTCAATGAAGATGCCGAGTTGACAAACCAGTGGAATAAATCTTTCTTTTTTAAATTTATACGAGTTCAACTATTATTTTATACTAAAATTTCTGGACTATCGCCCTTTAAGTTACAAACAAACAGGTGGTCCGCCATTTTATTTTTTTCCTCCCCAACGTCTGTTACCGCTCGTTATCTTAATGTGATTTACGCAACACTTACCGTTTTAAGCTAATTACACGAAATTCAGTATTTTCCTAACCTTAGTTTTAAGTCTGTTGGAATCTTGAAATAGATTGACTTTATTTTGGCTCCAGTTTCATTCACTTCTTTCATTCGAATACTACTTTTGTTTTCGGCAAAAACCTTGGGCGAGATTAGCAAAATCTATTTTTAGTAAGATTAATTATTCAAATCGTTGTAAATAATGCTGCATTTTTTTACTTTAAATGGAACAACCGATAAAAACAATTCTTTTTACCATCAACTTAATGTGTAGTTTTCTTTGAAACATAAACAATGATGTTAGCCGTATCGGGTATAAATCTCATTTGCACACGATTTAAAGTAGAATTCTACAGATCATGGATGCGATTATCCAGTTACCCACAGAAAAATAACGAAATTAATGTTCATATACTGTCCATTACGCTCGCTGTGAATAGTATTTTACCGATTGTAATGAGTGAATTGAAATATCAGCTTGAAAAACCACCAACAAATTTCAAGCATAGATCTTGAAGCAAAAACAGTGAAGCTGTTTGCAGTATGATGGATGAGTTGTTTTGTTTTGCATCACTAAGATTACTACATCAGAGAATGGAAAAACATGAAGTTTGAAAATTACACCATAACATAACGTCACAGTCTGTTAAATACATTATATTCAAATATATTCATATACCTTGTTACGATGTCAAGCTTTTAATCACCTATTGTTTTAAAATATTCTTACTGTACAAATAGACCATAAAATATCAACAATAACGGTTTGTAAGACACAGTCATATACACCAACCTGGCGTCACAGTCTGTAAAACACATCAAGCCCACTCTAGAATATTTTCATATACTTTGTTACGATGTCTGGGTGTCGGCGTCACAGTCATACCGACAAAATCAACCGGCAAATCTTCCCTTTCCTGAAATGTAGTTTACGTCATAAAATCATTAAATGTTAAATATTGTTTAAACAATTTTCATAAACCAGTAAAACAAGGACATACTTAAAAGATTTGTCATGCGTATTGGGGACACTGGTGGCTTCGATGTGCACAATTTCGATTTTCACCAAGAAAGTCAATACTGCTATGCTTTCAATTCCATTAAAAACACGAGTTTTATGTCGTTACTACCTTCTTTGAAAAACTCTTTTTCCACCGCTTTAATATTTTTAAACCAGCAACTCATTCCATTTGAAGCTCTCTAACTCTACATGAAGTTAAAAATCCAGAATAAAACCTTGATTAAAGATATGGTAAAGGAATTAACTCAGTTAGCTGTGATTTCTGGTTGAACAACTTGCACTCAACATCATTTCTGTATTTGGCACTTGTTACAGCATACTACCTGTTTATCATGTTGAAACTTTATTTTTATATTCAGATGGTAATCACTTTGAACTGATAGAATAGTTAGATTTAGGGTGGGGTGCTTAAAGGAACATAGACATGTAAATATTTACTTTACTGGTCGATTGAACTATATTTCAGTCATGTGTATCACTTCACAGGAGGCCTGGTACGTTTTCAAATACATTGAGCCGTCTGACGATAGTCTAAGCTTTCCAAGACAATACATACATGCCAGTTTTCAGTTATCCGTATCACTTTTCAGAATAAGAAATCAACATCAGATTCATTTGCCATTACAATACCACTTAGATATGTTAAGATATGTACATATTGGTTTGGTTCCATTACAATGGTAGAACCTGGTTAAGTAATCGGTCCAGTAAATGGTACCCTGATGGTATAGGGACTATAAACTGGGTACTAAATTATGTTCTTTGGTGTCTCTGTACTTTCAAGGAGGATTATCGCGATGCTATTTTCAAATTTGACTTTAAAATACAGAGTTCACGGTGCTGGTTAAGACTATACAAGTGGCATAGAATAATATAAGGAAGTAAACCTTTTATTTATGCCGTAATTAATTCGTCCGTATGAAATGGGCGATAACTCTATAACATAAAATAGTTTGAGAACGTTTTGATATCCAGATAAATTCAATCAAACAGATAAAAATATCACAGAATCTATAGATAATTGCTAATTGGGCTCTTTTCACACTGATGGAGTGAAAATTGGGACCATGTCTTTAAACTTGATGTGTTATTTTCTTTCTCAAAACCACGAACACAATCTGAGGAATCTGTCTTTAACCAAATCGTTGTATGAAAGGATCGAGCAAATGGCTCTGATTTCAAAACCAACTTCAATCATCTCTGCATTGGTCTTAGTTGGTCTTAAACGTACGATAATTGTAAGCTTTGTGAAACCGTCAACAGAATTAGCAACCTCGATGGAAGGATGTTTTAATTGAGCTTTTTAATGTTGAATCGGTTTAAAGTTATATTCAAGTACAATGCTGAAATTAATGCTGAATTGAAATCTATACAAGTAAACTTCAATCTTTGCTCTATTTCTTTAGCTACTATCATAATAGCACAATTATAAAGGAGCTGATTAACCATCAATAACGATACAAACAATGAAGCTTAAAGCTAACATGTACTCTTAAAAAGTGCTTATCAAAACGTCAATACATACATAGTAAAATAAAATATCACTTAGTTTACAGTGGTTAGCACTATAATATAGAAAAATAAGACATAAAACAACGTATACTAAGAATTCGAAGCGCGAATCTCCGCATTCACAAAAATATTTATGCATAAAAACAATATAGACCAAATATGATAAAAAATGGACGGATATACACGTTACCTAACACAAGTTTCTTAAATTGAATAGTAGGCCTTCATAAATAATGGAATAAAAATAACAAAAAACAATTGCTGTAGTTCTCTCTTTTCTGAGCAAATTCTTAAAATATATGGACGGAAATATTTATATCGTTTTTTTTTAGAAGAGACACGTCACAGGTGTTGCTGATATAACGAAAACAAGGGCGGTAATTCGTTGATGCTGTTATGACGTCACTGGTCTCATATTAGTAATGACAGTACTCATCATTCTTTCTTTCTCTTGGAAATCTGTATGACCTATCACCAACTCACTGAAAGCAGAAAACATTGGTTCATTGAAAGCGGAAATTAACTTAAACTCAAGAAGAAAACCTACAGAATCTTCATAATCTTAACCTCAGTCCTCGAGGTTGAAAAAATGCCAAAAGCTTGAATTTTGTGACATATTGAGTAGAATTTTAACTATACATGTATGTAGCTATCAATCTATATGCATTACTCCTCATCAACCAACCCTAACTAATGTACTAAACCACAAAATGCAATTTCTTCAGGGTCATATGGAGTCAATTTGTGATACCGTTACCCGGTCTTTCGTTAACCGACATTGACTTTTATTCGCCAATCACTTAATTAACTAAATCACTCACCTATAATTAATTTCACCATCACCATCCATATCTAACTCTTCTAATAATTGTTGAGTTTCTTCTTCTGTTAGATTGATACCAGTTTCCTGCAAAAATATTAAACGTGTATTTGTCAAGGTCTGCAAATCATTACGCGCGTATGGCTGATAGGATCTTTCTTCTATGAAGACTAAATATATAGTACCCGGCTCGAGAACGATCCTATCTGAACTTTGATGTGTCAGTTTGCTACAAAATAACTTCCTGTAAAAAATTATACACGCGTATATCCATATCGAACCTTACTAATATCAACTATTCACACGACGCTCTGATTCCCTTTTTTATGCTATACTGATTTCTGCTTCTCAACCACCAAACGCCATAAACCTATCCAGTTGTGTTATTAACATATTGTGTTTTTGTTATATTATTGTACATATAAGCAGTTATATTGCACACAAGCTAACAAACCATTTCGTTATATATTGGTATTTAGTTATCCAAAAGTCACTCACTAAATGCTTTAACGCTTTCAATGAATTATTATTTTTTTCCATTAATTTATTCCACATTTAATAAGCAAAGCATTGAAAATCACTCGTTATACAATAAAGCATTTATATGTTTCGTTCAGCCATCGATTATATCCAAGCATAATCAAATATCATATTTAGTCATAGGATTTTATTATTGTCTTAGCAAAGCATTGAAAAGCACTCATATTTGAATATTTCGTTACGTAAAACTGGATTGATGTCGTAGTTATATCTAATTATACAGTTCGCTATATCCAAGATTATTCATTCAATAAACTCTCAGCTTGTAAAAAACCGGAGATAACGTCTTATTCTAAGGGAATGTGCAACACATAATGGATTTACTAATGTGAATTCTATCCTAATCTAAGATCTCTGATTTAACATGGTCTTTGAGAATGATATGGGTATATATATCTTATCTGTAGTAGAATATTTACGAGTATAACCCAAGCTTCTGGACATTATTTAACAAATGGCTAGAATATCAATGGATGATTGCCGAGGTTATGTCAGATTCTAAGAAACTTGTATTCCTTTGATCATCAAGGATAAAAAAATAGGGTACAAAATTGTATTTTATTCCTGCAAGAAAACTAATAAGTGCTGCCTTATTATCTTTCACATTGTAAGTCACGGTCTGAGAGTTTGTTTATGAGAGATAGGGGTTCTCTGGCTTCTAAAGGGTATTTTAGAGATAGATTACATGGAACAAACACTTGCTATACACACAGAAACAACCAAAAACATTAATTTTTCTTCAATTGTGTCAGTCAGGCCAGAGATACACTTGTGTATACCATATATGGTTTAAGATTTTTTCAAATACAAAGCGACATTGTTGGTACAACGTTAACAAATAAACCAAGAAAAGTCCAAATGAAAATTTCTTTTAGTTTTTGTTTTTGTGTGTATATATGATTAATAGCACTCCATTCACTTACTTTCTGAATTTGTTTCTGATGATAAAAATAAAATATGATAATGTTTGATAAGATGATGAAATAATATGTAAACTCTTTAATAACAGCGATTCATTTACCCTTGAAGCATGGATGAATTATGAATAAACAATACAATGTAATAATTCTTGACCTTGATCCTTTTAGAATTTATCAAGTACGGTATCGCAAAAGACTTGATTTTTCAGTGAACTGCCCAAAATAAAAGGGAGTCTATATCTAAATTAAACGGTAAAATTTGCATTGAATTTCAAAATGGCCGACTTACCACTAAACCAGTAAGAAATTCTTCATGTGTCACGCTCATACTCTTGTCTTTATCGAACTTATTAAAGAAATCCACCAGTCGTAGGTTATTCTTTTGGATATAGCTATGTAATTTGACCATGGGATGGACTCGTGCTTTCGGTTTCAATGGCGGCTCCATTCCACCGTGTCTCATCTTAAGTTCAGGCAGTTGTTCTTGTACTTTTGCGAAAATCTCGTTAAAATCATTGTTTACCAGAATATCCTAAAATATAGAATCGGATAACCTATAAAACCTTAACTAATTCGTAACACACCTGATTCGATTATGTAAAAATTCGTTGTTGATATGCTCAGCAATGTGCGTATTTGGAACCCAACGGTTTCCGACAAGTAGTAGAACAAGTAGAATTAAAACGTCACAAAATTAGGTACGTTATTTTCTCCATTTCCGATCGATACTCTCTCGATTCCTGTTTGGACTGTTACAGAGCTACACGTGATAGATGCCCACGGGATTATGCAGAAAATAGAGGACGTAAAACGCCATTTCGTCGCTTTACAGTTAACATTATCACGAACATCATACCCTCTCCATATAACGAAAACAGAACATAAAACAAAAGCCTACCATACCGTAAAATCTAGTACTTCTAAAATACAAGTAGGATTCTTCAAAATGGCGGCACAAATTCCCCAGCAACCGGCTGATTGCATTGGATTTTGACCTATCTAAAAGAATGATTCATCTTTATTCATATGAATAGTATCTTTTTATTGAGAGTACTCTATTGAGTCTTTCCATAACACATGCAACTGTGTGTGTCAACTACTCTTTGTAGAAGAGGTCTTAATTATGTTAATCCTTACTCAAAGCAGTTGAAGCAGGTATAAGTTAGAAAGGCTAGGTTGGCATAAAAAACAGTGAGAAAAGACAAAATCATTACCAGGATTACAGGATTACCTACCTTTAAAACTTTGAGCGTTTCATTTACAGCTATTCCTTTAGCTAAAACTACAGCTCCTTCTGTATTTATACGATTATTCCTGAAAACCCCCAGAGATACTCGTTAATCATGAACGTATGTAGCTTAAGAGACAGAGGGCCACCAGTGCTCGGGTTGTAAGTTACTGGTGTAACACCAATCTTGTGTAAGGTCGCAGTATTCAGACATAATTTATACCCAAGCGCCCCCATTCGCGCTCACTGATATATTTCAAGACATGTTTATCATTAAAAGTGGCATTCGGAGTCAATATTCCACGGTTATTTGCTTGCTATGGCAGAACATGTTTATCACAGTTAAATAAAAGGTAAAATTATCAGGAACTATAATAGATAAGTTAGAGAAATTTAGTTATGACAACCTGTGTATACTTACGATATATCTAACTCTTCTAAAACTGAATTACCCTTTAAAGAATCCCCCATAGCAAAGGCACCTTCTATACCAAAACCATTCCATGATAGGTTTAATTTCTTCATAAATACATTCGTCTAAATAATGATGAAACATCCTTGTTAAAAGAGTAAATGCTCAACTTTAGGCGATTGTAAAGAAGTTTGCAAGCTTCTTAATTTCTGTCGAATGTCTGTGCTGTAATTATAGAAATGCTTAGCCGTACATAACACAAAAGCTGCAGTTGATACCTAAGGACCTTTGCAATAGCTATATTATAAAATAGGTGGAATCGATAATACCACAGACGTCTGACTAAAAATTGGAATGGTGAAAATAATTGTAACGGTTACAGAGAGAAAATCAAAATCACCTTGAGTCCCATGGCCACACTAACAGCTCCTCGTCTTCTAATATTATTCCAACTTAAATCTAACTCTTTAATACAACTGTTCTCTGATATAGCTGGCCCAAAAACAATCCCAGCAGATTCTCCAAAATTATTCTTACTCATGTTGATAGATTCTAGTGTCTTGGTGTTCTGGGAAAAACACAAATGAAAATAACAAAAATGATGAAGAAAAAAAGTGATTAATAAAATAAAATGAAGTGTCTGAAAAGATGGAATCTCTTTTAACAATAATGATGTTGAATTTGAATCGAAGCCATGCTTGCACATCGTCCCACTAGAGTTAAAGATGCGATGCTCGCAAGGGGGATGTGCCGCCGATTCGGATCCGGATTCATGAGTACAAAAATGTAAAGAAACCAAGAACTCTGATTGGTGGAGCCTATCACAGCAGGATATTAACCAATCAGATTCTAAGTTTTATCAAGATTCGCTTAACAAAAGACCCCTGATAAAAAAACATGTATTACCATGATCGTATTGGCGAAATATACAGCAGCTCTGTCGTCGAACTCGTTACCTGCAATTCAAAATGGAGTCCTTGTAAGTGTATTAAAATGCACTGGTATGTTTTTACATTTATCTTTTTAATGAAGATTTCACTTGTGTGTGTTGTGATAGTTGTTTAATATCTGCATATAAAACAACAATACTAATACGGAGAACTTTCCAGCCTATCACACCATTAACAATCAATTCGGGAGGCCCTCATTCTCAACTGAAAACTAATAGCACTGAACCAGCCAAGTAATCCTAAACCTGCTACAACTACCAATTGCCAATTATTTTAAAGTTTTCTTACCTGACATATTAACATGTTTTAAAGTATTATTTAATATTAAAGTATTCGCCAAAGTTTCTGCTATTTGAATATCTAAGTGGTTGTCTGATAAATTCTGAAAGAGGATGAAAGTTATTTCAATATATTAACTTATGTATCGATTAGTGTCTAACTTCAGTAGGCTGATTATTTAAAAGTTGGAAGACCATCACGTACCATAATACTGAAAACAGAATAGCAACCTAACAGGACCAATCAAAGATGGCATCCTAGGATACAGTTTCTCTTCTGAAAATAATGACACCATCAAGCTATTATCAATACTTACTAAATGTGTAATATAACAGTTTTCGTTTAACATCTGACACACAGCTAAACCACCTTCAAACCCCAGCCAGTTATCAGCCAGGTTTAAATCTGTTATTTCTGTATTGGACTGAAATATAACACGAAATGACCTCATGGGGATCATTTCAGCCAGAAGTTTTCTTGGTATATTACAAAATGTGTATCAAAACGACAAGGCAAGATGTCAACAAGTCGTAATCGAAAGATTTTACGAAATGACAATCGTCAAGATTTGGCAGTCGAGAATTAATTCAAATGTGTTTCAATAGAACACGAAATGGTCACATATCGAAATCTCTTCAGGCAGCCGATATCCTCATAATTATCATCCGAAAGACAAGTCAAGAGTAACCGCTATACCACTTCGGAGAGGTTTTACGAAATGACAATCTCAACATTTGACAGTCGAGTATGATTGTCAATCCAATCCGAATGACAAAGCAAGGTGCCAGTACAAATGAGCACTAACCCACTTCCAATCCAAGGCATTGAGGCCCTGCTTTGCAATTATAAAATTTTTCTAATCATATCACATCAGGAAAGCAGTTCACGTGGCCCCGGACCGTACTCGGTCTATCTACACAATAATTCTTAGTAACGCCACTGAATCCAACTGATGCAAAGGCATAGAAGTTTCCATCCACCTTGGTAATACCTGAAGGCCTCTTTGGGATACCACCTCTAAGGACATAAAAATAGCATAACGTACCTTACCAGTGGTAGAACTAGTTTCATACATGACATAAAAAGCAAGATAGCATTAGATCAAAGGATAAAAAGTATTTACCACTAAAGACATGGCGATAGCTTTCATCCCATCTGCAGCTAGTCCATGGTGACTAAGGTTAACTGTATCGTCCTGCATGTGTCTCAGATAGAAGGACACTGGGATAACCTCGACATATTTACAGGCTTCTAGATATGTAGTTTTACCACTGTGGTCGTATTCTGTAGTTGTGTCTGAAATATGAAAGATGGAGAACCAATGAAAGCATTACCACAAATAAATCAAACAGGTGCAATGGGGAATACAACTGTTTTTGTTTCAATTCTGCCTACCGATCTCCTAGAACACATGAGCTATGTGAATAGAAAAATACTGCTGACCAAAATACAGATTCATTTGCCACCCATTAGTATTGACCTACACGGGATTTACCAGGAAACAAACCAATACTATAAAAGTGGCTAAGGCCTTATTAGGTTATGTATTTAACTGACTGACAGCACCATAACACAGATCGTTATACAGGTATAGGACAGCTTACCATCTGGTTCCAAATCAGTATCCCATGCTTTGTCATCAAATATATCAACTTTCTTCACATCAGAGTCATTGGTTAGCTCCCTTAATCTCCTGGGAAGAGTGGCCTCGGCATCTGACTCTGTATCAGAACCTGGTAGTTGTACAGATTTAGATTTCAGAGTTGTACTGGCGGATCCTGTTTTCTTACTGCTTGATCTGCTGATGGTCTAGAATCAAAATAAAATGATTATTGACCTGTAAACTAAATACAATGAGTATTTCAGCACATATGCTTGTTTCCTCCCTGGGGTGCCAGAAGTTGCCTCTTATGAACAATCGGATTATATATAAGGACTGATATTGTTTGTTTAACCAATTCCTCAAATTTAGTATGCAATTCGTTTTTTTAAAGAAAGCATTTGATTGTTTAAAATTATCACGACAGAAGATAATATTATGTTGTATAACAATTTCGACAGATCATTGATAAAAAAAAATCCATTGCAAACCATCAAAATCTGCACTTTATTAAGGTTGTAAATTTCTATATCACTCCTTAACATATATATTGATTACTTTTTGACGTTAAAAAGACAACCTCGACATGTAAAATGTGCTTTATCTAATGAATGTCCCATGTACGTGATTTATAACCGTAAAAACAAGCTCTGACTTCAATGTGAACTTTCAAATGCACGATATAACGCTGGTCTCTAAGGAGTATAATAGGAAAATCTAGTCGGAAACGTGCTGTCTCTCAAGGCATCTCCTCTTCTGGGCAATCAAGGGCGTTATCGGCTACTGTAGGTTTCTGAACATTACTGCTGAGGCTGAATTCAAATTTTGGCTACTCTATGGTGGTATCATAGTCGCAAGTCTCTCATCGAGCGTTTTAGATGGTTCTCTCAAGAAAGTTTGAGAAAAAATGAATTGATTTTGTGCATTCTGACACATATTTTGGAGAAAAAAAGTAGATATTTAGATTTGTTGAAAATAAAGTGGGGTGGAATCACTTTTCTAGGGAGGGCAAATGCCACTGATCAAAGAACTTGTTAAATGGGTCCCAATATAATTATCACAATTCCCCCTCTGTAAGAACCACAGGCCTGTTATTATTCAGAAATTGACAGACCGCTATGTAGCTGTGTTTAAATGCATGAACAGCTGCATTCACCCATCTGGATCATCTGTTACCACTCTCCAACTGTGATACCTTTTGCAGAGTCTACGTAGAGATTGTGATCCATTTCTTACACTTATATTGATATCAAATGATATATTCATACCTTTCTATTCGGCCTCCTAATAAATCCAGACATTTTATTTCTAATATATATCCTATACCGACTAGTAAATTACATTTCCTTATAAAATAATAATATCCTTATGATATTTTGTAGTTGTCAGTGATATCTTGCCTTGTCTTTTCACTATGAATATACTTTTTATACCAAAACACTATATGTCACTATATCTAGGTAGATCAAAGATTTTCCTAACTTTGATAATTTAAAAGTATGATATTCCTAAATACCAGAGAATTTCACACTTTATCAATCAGAACCGATACGTGTTGACTTATCTACTAATATACACTAATGTTTGTCTTAGATATGGCAACGACAATGGTGTTTTTGCCGTCTTGCCCAACAACAATCTTTACATACTTGAAAAATGATATTGCAAGATAGTGTCAACCTTAAAAGGATAACGAAGAGTTTTTTATGTGTATCGGAGCAATTTATGGCTTCTATTCACATCAATCCATCTATAATGGTGCAAATTGAAGCTATCAGTGTCCCTGATACACTTTTCGAAAACCCTTTTACAATTTCTACATTGATTTATTACCAGCTTAAATTGAAATTGAAAGAAAATAACTGTATACTGTATATTGATAGGAATTATTTAGATTTTCAGATGCCTTTTAAAGAGCAACACAAGTTATCCACTGTAGTAAATCACTAAGAAGTTGATAATGAACTTTCAAGGAACATTTCATTGATAGATTTGATAATGTGGCAGTCTAAGTAGAGGCATACTAACCAAACCGTGGTAGGCTATGTATGTATGTATTATACTGCACAATAAAGTGAATGTAATATGGCGACAATAGATTGTTAAACGTATTATATTAAGAATTGAATAGAAACACAAATATGTCATTTACAGTCCATTGTAGATGTATCCTTTCTTTACCTAGTGTTAAATAACCCTGTTTGTTGATATATAAAATAACAATTAAGCGTGGAGTAGTTTTGAGTAGGGAAGGGAGAGGGGGCTCGAGAGGTAGTGGTAGATTGAACTATTTCGTGTTTTAAGGGCACGGTATTATGATAAGCTTATATCTCAAAATGTCGTGAAAAGACAAATGTATAGTACCTATATTTGGTCTATGTTTTTATTGGAATGCCCCCACCCCCATCACTTATACATACATCTTCAAAATCACATCTTAAAGACGCCAAGAGAACTGATTTCAGTCTGATACACGTATAATGTAATTTATGCTCAGTGCTGTTAAATGGCCATTAATATTTAAAGTATCGCATTCATTCGCAAATGAAATAGATGTAGATCTGATATCAACCTTTGATATCCGTGGGTAGCCTACTCAAATTTACTGTTTGCTGCCACATGACAATATCTTCTTTACCCGACTCTCGAACGCATTCTTAGTGTTGTATCTTGTGCCATACCAGTCGATTTTATCCACGGCGTATATGGCTCTACTATAATAACACTAACAACACAATAAACCTAGCAAAGGAACAAACAATATCAATTTCCTATCACTGATTGTAAACAAATAAACTTTATACTTGATTTATAGTCTACTAAAATACACTTCACTGCCTCAGTGATAAACAATGACTTTAAAATCTGAATAAATAGGATCCAAGTACTGGGAGAGGTGATCAAGCAATAATAGCTTACAGAAAGTTAAAATTGAAAAGATCAAGCTCTTAAAGCTTTTTCCAAGTTGAAATAGATGTGATCAAGTTATAATAGCCCATATCAAGTTATCATATCAAGTAAAATAGAAGTGATCAAGTTATTATCGTCCATGTTCATACCAAGTTATAATAGATCATATCAAGTAAAATAGAAGTGATCAAGTTATTATAGCCCATGCTCATATCAAGTAAAATAGACAGTGGTAACGTTATTGTGGCTCATATCAAGTAAAATAGAAGTTATCATGTTATTATAGCTCATATCAAGTAAAATAGAAGTGATCAAGATATTATAGCTCATATCAAGTAAAATAGAAGTGATCAAGATATTGTAGCTCATATCACGTAAAATAGAAGTTATCATGTTATTATAGCTCATATCAAGTAAAATAGAAGTGATCAAGATATTATAGCTCATATCAAGTAAAATAGAAGTGATCAAGATATTGTAGCTCATATCACGTAAAATAAAAAGTTATAATAGTATATACCAAGTAATACCAAGTTAAACCAAAAGTGAACCAGTCATATTAACTTAATAATTGCTTATATCATGTTATTATAGAATTGATGAAAGTCATAATAGTTTATATTAAGATTAAACATAAGTAATCTCGTAGCTTATATCGAGTTATAATAGCTCGTAGTTAAAATAAAATTAATTAAGTTAAAATAAAAATAATGAAGTTATAATAGCTTATAATTGTTATAGCTTATGTATGTGTTAAGTGAGATCAATAAGGATCAAGTAATGATGACTTATATCAAGTACAATTTGAATCAAGTAAAGTAAAAAAAAAAAGTACTTTGTCATTTTGCCATATATAACACTGAAACAGAACTCCTAAAAATTCACAGATTTAAAAAATTAAATTTATAAATAACAAAAACAAAACAAAATACCTTTCTCTGTTTAGATAGAAGACTTCCATTCAATAAACGAATCTTAGCAAAATATAGCATGTCTCGGTCTATAGCGGTCTATCGATTTAAAATCGTTTCCTTTATTCTTCCGTATTACTATTATATATTACTCTTCATATGTCTCATCCACAGACACGAAGTACCATTGTTTATGTCAATTAAATATGGATTAAAGCTGTCCATTTCTATTAAAACACCACATCCCTGCAAGACTTTTATTCCAGCATATGGTTCGAAGATTATCAAGGAAATGTGATATTCACCTGACAAGCCGTGTTGGATATTGATTAGTCTTGTATATCACTATAGAGATATATAGATTAATATCATGTTCAAGGAGATCACATACTTTTCTCATACGCTCATAAACGCTTTATCAAAATTGCACATCCTATATACGTATTTAATATACATGTATACTTTTATCTTTTTCAGAAATTGTCAATGAAAATTTCTTAATCTTTAAATGGAAATTCCTGAATGAATTTCAGAATCTTTAAATGAATATCATTTTTATTTAAATAAATTTAATTTTATTTTATTTTATTTATTTTTTTAATGAATTAAAAAATGTCAGCATTGGTTGATTGATACCAGGTTCGAAAAGTTGTGAGGAGAACATCATTAATATATAATAATAAAGGTTGTAAAATTTAGATATCGGGGAAGAGCGTGTTTATTTTATTTTTTTTTTTTAAACAATATTTATTCATGATCTACAATGGATAATTACATCATATGTGCAAAGGTTTCAGAAACAAGCCGAAGCTTATACTAATCCGTTACCAATCAATTTAACATTCAAATATACAATTACAAATTATAATTTAATTACATTTTTATGATATTGTTATGTCAATATAGTGCAGAAAAGTGAAGAAGAGAACAGTGATTTTGGCCTGGGTTCGAGGAAGGAGACAGTGTTCAGATGCTATACATATCTGCTGCGTGATCACCAAAGCTATTTGGGAAAGGTTGGAGTAGTACAGAACATTACACCATTAGAGGCGTACATGGCTTAAAGGTTCGTGAGATCACGTTGTGATATTAGATTGGATGGGAAATAGGTAAAAGAGATTTATTTAAACCGCTTAGTTATTGTTATAAATGACCACTGAAAAGATATGGCTGTTGGTTTTGTTATCCGCAGTATTTGTTCCGTTTAGGAGAATATTCGTGCATCTAAGGCCAGGAGGCAGGGTGTGGATTGTCTGATTTCGTTGAAGAGTGTAGTTTCTGCAAATCAAGAGATAATGAGAGGAGTCTTCTATTTGATGGCCACATGAACGGGAAGGATCTTCACCTATATGGTTAATGAATTGATGATACTTTAGCTGACTTTTCGAGTTCCTTAGTTGACAATGGAGTATGTCAGGTTTTCTGTCATTAGTGTAGAAGTAATCTTGAATGTGAGGGATTTGTAGGAAGGATGAAAGTCTAGATTTGAAAGAAGAGTAGCTAGTAGTATCCTTAATGGTAGAGGGGAGATTGTTCCAGTCACGGATTGATAAGGGTAGAAAGGAATCATGGTAGTAATTGTTGTTTGTATGGATGGTTCTGATGTCATTTCCATTACGGACTGGATATGGGTTCATTTCAGCAACTGTAGACGGGACAAGAATATTTAGATAAGAGGGTGTTAATTTGTGTATCATTTTAAAGAAGACAGTGAGCCTATGCTGATATCTGCGTATCTTTAGTGCTGGGATTCCTGATTCACCATACAGTAGTTTATGGGAGGTGCCACGGGGTAGGCCTGTTATAGTCCGCAAACGTCACGGTGGAGCTTTTCGAGTCTTTCTTCATCTTGTTGGGTACAGTTGTTCCAAATAACATCAGCATAGTCGAATAAAGGTAGAATATTAGTCTTATAGATGGTGATGGTGTTTATTTCTGATTTTTCACTGTCAATAACTGCAAAAAATATATCGGAAGCCTCAAAGAGACAGCGAATTTTCGAGAAGTAATTTAATTATTTGGCTTGACTTACCTTCATTTCAGTGTTAGGTTTTAATCTGTTTCTAATGATGACAATTCTATCAGGTATATCTATATGTATATTCATCATTTTGTCTATGTTTATCAGTATCACAGTTTATACGTCAGAGATTGTTTATCCTTACAAATATACTTGAGCACTCTTTATATCATAAACTATATTAATTAGGATTCCTCGTGATAAAACCGTTTTTTAAAAACCGAAGCCAGGTTAGGCATAGCATATCCTTCTAATACAACAATAGCCTATTTGCATGTCAGGTTTCGCTTATCCTTAATTATTATTGATAATTATACATAATACATAAAGCCCTTGCTTGCTCTACCAGCTGATCGAAGATTCTTAATACATCAACATTTCACATTAATAAATGTCTTTTCGATACCCATGAACATCATAACTCCCACGTAAAGATTCGTGGAATGCTTACACCTTCACACCACTTTTAAACACGAAATGAAAAATGTAGATTCAAAGAAAGCACAAAACTTAAGTTCATCTGGTGTCTATTCCACCCTACTGGACATGGTTAAATGGTAAATACTCGATGTAAATAGGTTTTTAATAACTTATAATCTATATCTTTAACAATATTAAACCAATATTAGAAAGAAACGAAATCATATAGAAACTCTCTTAATCTCTTAACAATAAAACAGATAATAAAGGTATACATTCCACTAAATATCACTAAACTGAACCATTAAGTAAAATTAAACTGAACAATTTCAAATTGAAATATTGTAAATGATTTAGTAAATTCCATCCTAGCTCACTGTACATTAGTTCTTTGTAGTACATAGTTCTTCAAAAATGACAAAAAGTCGTGCAAAACCGTCAACGAAAGGTTTTGGATATCAAACCCACTACCAGGACAGCAGAGTAAAATGTGAGAGAATTATGGCGTGGTAGGTTTTGAACATTTAGGATATGTACCAGTTCGCTAAATATCCAATTTAAGAGATACAAACTATGCAAACTATGTCGTCTATTCCGTAGAACATGTAGGCTAATATTCTTGCTTTATCTTATTGAAGATGATCCTTAAGTCAAATTTTCATCTAGAACGCGATACAGCTACATTTATATAGATGTGAGTCATTTAAGATGCTCCACTAAAAATAATTAAACGACTATGTCCCTTTAAATAGTAGCCTTTTTCTACCTGAAGAAATCAATAAGTTTAAGATCTTGGAACATGCAATGAAATAAAAGGTAGCGATTATTGATCTATTGAAAGTTTTCAATCACTGATCACTTCTCATATCGATTACTATAGGTGTTTATCGGTTTATAACCTTTAGTAGAAGTGTTTAGAAATCATAAAGATACTGTATTATTTATATCTAGATCCCTTCTCACTTTATTATATCTAGAGCAATTTAATATAGTTTTTATAATGTGGGGGATTTATTCATGGACAGGGCTGACTAAATTTTAAAGGGAAGTTCCCAGAAAGGAAAAATCTTTGTGCGGCCGAAGTTTTGTATTGAAGATCAATTTGTCATTTGAGTAATTTTAAAGGCGACTGCATACCAGCTAACCACAACAATTATTCAATAAGTTATCAATATTTTTAATAGGCCTACATATAGGATTGTAGTTCATTTCATCCATTTTTTCGTATGAAGCGGATAATTACCGGCAGTACTCATTTATTATCCAAGATTTTCATGTGTGTGATCATATTTACAAAACAAAACGTAAAAATGGCTACCTAAATGTGTGTTGATTGGTCCGTTTGAAAATAACGTGACATATTGAATACAATCATGTTAATTGTTATCTCGGATTCAAATACGAGGTTTAGTTGTTAAAGAAAAACACGGTATGAATAAGCAATGTTTCGAATGTTGAAGAGTCGGTAGATATTCTATTTGTCAACAAATTGATGGTCCCAAGAAAATGAAATTAGCTAAACTTACCGTTCTGGACTGCCAACACTCACTGGGAATATTCTTCCATGCTTCTTCGTCTTCTTCAACTTCCTCCTCAGACTGGTCACTTTCTGATATTTTTATCTGAACATTTGGTTTAACAGGAATATTTTCCTTATCATTATCAGTCGACTGTTTATTTGTGTCTAAAACAACTGAACGTTCTAATTTTCCGTGGGCGCTGATGCTTGTCCGTTTCGTCTGAAGATCCTTTGAAGTTTTGGATTTTGTTTCAGTTTTTACAGTATGTGGTCTACTTGATGGATGTTTCGTGTGATTTGGGACTCTCTGATGCTGTTTATTCCGTGATTTTCTAGTCTGTAATTTTTTCTCCTTGATATCCAAACATACATCTTTATCTGCGGGTGGATATACCAACTCTTTAGGTAATCGGTATGTCATGACCTGAAGTATAAAAAAAACTTTAACAATTACTTGGTATTTGGTTAACAATACGGTATTTATGACGTCACCAAACAAGATAGAAGATGTACGAAAATTCGGTCATGCTCTCTCGTTCCACTAGGCTTAATTGCATAATGTTGCTTATCATTCGGCAATCCTCGGCAATTTCCGTAAAGCTGAATCTACAGAGTGAAACTTTCACGGTATAAGAGCGTCTGATTGACACTCGAGCAAACGATATCCAAGATATTTCGATCTTTACGTCGTTACACCAAACCAAACCGTATCCATTCTGTGCAAATAAAATAACGTAGACCTAATCACACCTTTGTTGAAATAGACAGGATTATCAATATTCATTCATTATGACATGATTTATTTTATAATATAATATTAGTTACTAGTCGTATAAATCAGAGAGTCGAGAGTTTTATAGCTTAAAGTCGACAAGCCTAGTCTTCATTAGCGTTAGTGAACTGAAATTTCTAAATGAAACTAGCTTTAAAGCAAAGTGTGATCCTCCACACTTACAGAGTAGATAGTTAGAAAGTAACATTCCATTTCACTTTAAAGTTTTGTGATCATGTCTATAATCAATCTCGCAAAACAGAATGATATATTGGATTGCTTGAAAAAGACTAGAGAATCCGAGTCGAAACTTGGCTAAAATAAAATCAGTACTACTCACATTCCATAAGATTTGATTCTATATCATTCCACTTTTCTAAATACCATTCAAGGAATTCATATACATGCATGCTTTCCGAATTGGTGACGCTACACACTCATTAAATTGCTACCACTGAATGATTGTTATGGGACTCTACTGTATTAGTACATCATTAATACAATATTTTGAAAAAAGCTTAAAATAAGCTATAATAAGGCAGATGTCCTCCATGAAGACTCGGTGTTAAATGGAGACTGTTCAAAAAGATTCAGACTAAGCAATTGGTAATTAGGCACTGGACCCTTACATAACCTTTTAAAGTCTTTGATCTTCCTAATGTCAATCTCTTTTATATTGTAGGCTTCTATTAAGAATTAAACCAGCCATATTAGAGACTTAAATTTCCAAAACCACAATTTCAAGACCAAAATACATAGCATTAATCGATCAATTTATCTGAAAAATTCTTAGAAATATTAAAATGTAGTAAATAACATAGTCTTACCTATATAGTAAACAATGGAGGTCAGTGATTTCAGTCTGATTTAATTCGATCTGAATAGACCAGTATAGTATTATAATACACTGTAATTCAATACCAAACATTATTATCTATTATAGGTTGTCAAGTTAATAAAATTATCATTACCGTTCAAAACCTGTGTATATTGGCCGGTTTTGTTGTTACAGTATAACTTTGTTATCCATTACCGTCTAAAACCTGTTTATACAGGCCATTTATGTTGTTACAGTATAACTTTGTTATCCATGCCAGCAACTAGGATATTACATTATCTCGTTATCAAGGACACTGCAATACACTATCCTTTCAAACGTCAAATATTATAACATATTATAGGCTATCAAATTAATAAAATTGATTATCATTACCACTATAAACCTGTATATTCAGGCCGTTTCTGCCGTTAGGCTACTAAAAAACCTTGGTAATCAGGGCATGTATGTTATGACGGTATAACCTCGATATGTAGTCCATTAAAAGTTGCCTCATTGTCTCCGTTATCCATCATATCAAACAATTTTATCTTTTATAGGTTGTCAAGAATTAAAAATTATCATTATCATTTATAAACCTGTATATACAGGCCAGTCAACCAAAAGTTATATCATATACTACTTTATTCCGCTATTCGGAAACGATTTACTCTGCTATTCGGATCATGAAAAGTATTACTACATAATGCATAAAATGAAAGTAGTAATTCAAATTCATCAATATTCCATCAGTTCACTACTAGTAACTTGTTATCTTTCAAACATCCTTATTGAACACTTTGTAGAATTGCTATGGCCGACATATTGTCATTTCTCAATAGGTTATTTTGATCTAAACCGAATAAGCGATTTTTTTTCTAGTGAAAGAGCCCCTTTAAGACATACTAATACGACAATCTCTGGAATATACCGAAGCTATTTATAGCTATTATGAAACGGTTGGATTTTGGCCAATGAGATGACGAGAAAATATTTAACCCGAATCTTATATTTCGTTATTTACTATTTTGCATAACGTGTAGAGTGTAGGACGCAGTTCCAAGTTGCATCAGGCGAATTTTCAACAAATTTACTGTTTTATTTGTGAAAAAAGTGAAAAATAAAGATGCCACGAAGAGGAGGACGAAGTCCATCACCAAGGTAAACTAATTAGATGCCAGAAATGAATTGCATAACGGCGAAAAATCGTTCGTTTTCAACAAGGTCAAAGCACAGAAAGTGGTGTCTGTGAAATGTCGTGATCTTGTCTTTCAACTATTTTATCAAAGTAGTATATTATATTCAGATTATTATTTTCTGAACTATGTTTTTGGTTCTCTAAGCAGTCTTAATACATAAATTTTTTTATTATATTATAATCCAGAACAGATTTAGATTTGTATTACAAATTTGCATTTCTCATTTATTTTATCATTATATAAATTTTTTCAAAATTACCCTTTTGAAATAATTTTATGCTAAGTACATTAACAGCTTCTTTTGAGCCTAGTTTATTCTTTTTGATGTCATTTCAGATACTTATTGTCTTACATTTGAAATTGAGGTTTTCATAGACATGTATACTACAGTGATTTCAACCTAATAGAAATACCAATGGATTACCAACTTGTCCTATGGTTGTGTCCTTCATTGTCTTAGCTATGCTGAAATTATATATCTTCAAATAAGTAATATTTTTTTTACCATTTCAGACCATCTAGAAATGTACCAGCTCGATCCCCACCCCCACCTCCTCCTGCTCCTATACAAGCCCAACCCAGACAACCAGGATTAATGGGACAGATGGCTGCTACAGCTGGTGGTGTGGCTATTGGATCTGCTGTGGTAAGGCTATTTTCAAAGCATCGCAAGCTATTCTTCTGGCAGACCTTATCTGCCGACTGCTTGGTACTGTTCAGTTTGTTAGCAAATATGTGTCTTATTGCTTTAGGCTACAGGGCATGTCATACGCTACAGTATCTAAAACACTTTACCATTGTCGTATCAGTATATCGTCAATGAAATAGAAGCTCATAGGAAAAGGAATTCTATGGAAGATTTTGACTGTCAAGACTGCTCAGTTCAGTAAGCTTATAGAACAATTTTACATTATAGGGTCATACTGTAGGCCATGCTCTAACAGGAGGTTTTGGTGGAGGAGGACAGCAAGAGGTTGCCCAAGATCAGGCTCCAGCCCAGCAGCAGCAACAACAGCAGAGAAACCCTTGTCAAATGGAATTTGAGAGTTTCGTTCAATGTGCCCAAAATCAAGGTGATATTTCTCTATGTCAAGGATTCAATGCAGCTTTAAAAGAATGTAAATTACAATATGGTAGGTAGAATACAATAATTTATTTACATTTTAAAATGATGAAAGGAATGATATATACAATAGTTCTGCCAAATCCATTCACACTTTCTTAAATTCCTTATCCACTCATAAATTAGCCCAGTAACACCCAATTAAATAAACTTAAATGCGAATCTGCTGAATTGATATCATAGGATAATAATTTTGAGCATATATTTTTGCATGAAAATTGATGTAAATCTGTTATTTCGCTGATAATGTCTGATTCTGATACTTCTTTAATCACCAAAAAAACTAATAATTAAAGCAAAGATATATGTGCTCATCAGGGTAGGATTCAAAACAAAAACACAAGCAGTCTGTATACTTATGTACATGACTGACATGTATTGTGTGGGCTGTTTATGTTTTGAATTATTCTGCGATGAGCCCACATATCTTTCCTCGACTAGGAACTGGAGAAATATGAACTTCATGGTTCTAAACGATAATTAATATCCATATATATAGCTAATCAGCATTATATATTTTCATTGTAGGTTTATAAAGATGGTGGAATGAATGACGGTTGTTAATTGGTGAAAGATTTAAGTTATAAATAGAAACATTAAAAAAAAGTTTTGATTTAGAGTTATTGTAGATATCAAATGTTTGAATTCAATTTGGAATAATTGCACAGTGTATTTAAACATGGGTTGAATATGGCAGAGGATTGACTTATATATATTGTATTATTAACACCCTTTAATAAAGCTGATTTGAAACTAAAGATGTTGTAACTAAATTGAAAAGGACAACAAAAAAGGCTGCCTTGAGTGAGGCTTAGAAATAAATAAAATAAGAATTATAATTTCATACACTTTTGAGACACAAACAATAAAAACAAAATACAATATATTCTATAAAACATACACTTTACTGGTCCATATGTATCACATGTCTGGTGTTTAGGTAGAAAAAAGTACTAACCATGTAACTTAGTTGTGATTACTACCCTAAAATTTCCACAATGTTATTGACAGTGCAAGGACAGTCTACCAGATTGCTCAGTTACAAACATATTAGAACTAAACATTCTTATACATTTATCTCTGCCAGAGTCTTGTAGCCAACAATCTCCCATCAAAACGGGGGTTAGTCCAATACATCTACCAAACATGTGGCAGTCCAATACAGTATCAAACATGTAGATAGTCAATACATCTATCAAACATGTGGCCAGTCCAATACATCTATCAAACATGTGGCCAGTCCAATACAGCTATCAAACATGTAGATAGTCCAATACAGCTATCAAACATGTAGATAGTCCAATACAGCTATCAAACATGTAGATAGTCCAATACATCTATCAAACATGTGGCCAGTCCAATACAGCTATCAAACATGTAGATAGTCCAATACATCTATCAAACATGTGGCCAGTCCAATACATCTATCAAACATGTGGCCAGTCCAATACAGCTATCAAACATGTAGATAGTCCAATACATCTATCAAACATGTAGATAGTCCAATACAGCTATCAAACATGTAGATAGTCCAATACACCTATTGAAAAATGTGACTAGTCCAATACAGCTATCGAAACATAGGGATAGTCCAGGTGATATCAATTATGTACAATGATGAATCTTTCAGTTGTCATGATAACTTTCATCCTAATGTAATATAATATTCAGGTGCATTTCACTCTCAACAGGTATAATGTAATATGTAAACAACTAGTACAAACACTTTCAAACTGTTACCATGTTACTCTGAAGAAAAAAAGACAGAATTCCATTATATTATTTTGAGAGAGCGAACTTCAGAGGCACAGACTGGTGATTCGCTGTTATTTCACTACAAATTATAAAAGAGACCTGACATATGCCATGCCAACATTTCCCACCACAATACTCTTGTGTCTGTATTTACGCACAAAACCTAAAGTACGTGAAGCCACATCAAATAAAAGAAAATTATTTACTTACATGTAGAAGATTTTTGATGTATTTTTCTGTTAAGGTAGGAACATTTCTTAAACAATTCACCTGAAGATAAAATAAGTAAAATCTAAATTTTGTGTAGATACGCCCTGATAATCTTTATTGATTGCACCACAGGAGTTTGTTTAGGGGTTGGGATAGCTAATGGAGTCAGCTGGTTTAAAAGCTGGAAACATAATTAGCCCGGTTACGTAGCTCAAGGGTTAACAAGACATCTGACTCCTCAACCTTTATAAATCAAGATAGATTTCAGTCATTAATGATTGTAATTTGAGATCTATGTATCGTTAACACTGAGAAATAACAATTAAAATATAACATGATCTTACCGAGTCAAATTCTCCATGTAGTTGTCGATAATCATAGATCAATCTCGCTCGTTTATTTCCAACTGTATGGAGCTGTTGTAATTCTTTCACTGATGATGTATTTAATAATCGCAGAAACTCAGCATCTACAAATAACAAAGGGAATAGAACTTGACTGTAAATAAAGATAGGAACTTTTTTGTATGGTAAGTTTAGATGGATATAGGTTTACTAGTAAGCTCATTTTAAGCTAGGGTTATCTGTATCATATTTCAGAATAAAATCCAATGTTTAATAGCACTCAATTTGAGCTCTATCAGCTGGTTTTGCAAACATTTAGATGGGTCTGTGACAGGCTATGAAAGTTATCATCTTGACGTATGGAGGCATCAAACTCCAGAATAACTTGCAAGCGTCTAAATCACTGAACATAGTTAAGCTCGTGTTGGAGTATGGTAACCACTTACTATGTTTTTCTTGTAACTCTGGATTAAGACACTGGGAGACCTTCTCTTCTTTTTTGGTTGATTTTTTCTCTTCGAAATCTTCCATACTATCTTCATCATCTGTAGTATTTATATACATGTATATAATTAGCTTTAGTCAAAACATTGTAAAATGCAACAATCAACATTTTTGAGGGTTGATTTTGGACTTGAATATATGTTAATAGTCATCTGAAGAACTAGAACTTTGCAATACCCTTCAAATACACCTCATTGAAAAGTTTCAATTTCCACTCTATCCTCATTGTCATTGATTGCTCCCTTATCTGAATATTGTCAAGGTCCATATAGAAAATACAGTATAATCTAGCAGAAATGACAATTCAATTAAGTCAATATTATGTGAAGTATATCAAACTTTAAATCTAGCTGCATATCCTCAATAAGATCTTACGCTAGGATGTCCTAGAGAAGTGTGTATTGCATTTTTTAAAAGTATAAAGTTTTAGATTTTACGGAAATGGTCCTACTTACCGTCTTCAAATATTTGTTTACAAGCAGTAGATTTAAAACCTTTCCTGAATAACCTGGGTACAGTAGCAAATAATGGACTACAGGATACAGTTTCTAACTTTTCTTTTATCTTCAACAATTTTGCTTGATCATTTTTCTCTTTCTGTAGTTGAACCTTCTTATCCTCTTTTTTATCCTCTTGTTTTATTTTCTCGTTTGTTTTATCTATGAAATTAAAATTCATTTCAATGAAATCATCTATAATGGACCAGGTACAAATCATAAAGAAACAAAAACTTTACTTTTTAATAGAATATGTACTTAATTGCTATTTGATTAAAATGCAAATATGGATGTTAAGTTTCAAATTTATATGCATATGAATCCACTTGTCATCTATGATCTGATTAAGTTTTTCTTTTAATTGTTTTCCCAGTATAAGCTCAGTCAAAACATTGACAAGGGATTTATTTAAAATACAAGTTATCCATCACAGAATCTTTCTTTCTTTGTATAGAGCATAATTTTAAATGACATAGAACAGGAGATGAATAACAATTTCTTAAGACCATGGAAGGACAGTTAAGTTACATTGGAGAGCAGATTTTCAATTTCATCATATTGTAAAAATGTATTCTGACTGTACCTTTTAAAACTTTTCTTTCTTTTTGGGTTTCAGTAGATTTCTTTGTTGCCTTTGTTGTTTTCACATTTTCACCTGTTGCTATAACTGGGGAAACTGTCTTTCTATTGCCACTGGCTCTCTTTGGTTCTTTTTTCACGCCCTGTTTTTTAACTTTCACAATCGGCTTTTCTTGTTCAGCCTCTTTCACTTCCCGCATTTTCTGCAATTCTTCTTTAAAGGACATGAGTTGTTTCTGGATTTCCATCATGGCAGGATTTTGTGTTTCCTGGTTACTCTGAGTGATTTTCTGTAGAATGTTGCTCTCCATTTCTTGCAGTCTCTGATTCACAGTGTTCTCTAGATTATTATGTCTTCTCATCAGAGGACTAAAATAATAATTACAAATAAAATGAAATTTAGTCGGATGTCCTAATTTTCTGCTTGATGGGAAAGGTCATGCACTGTGCAATGAGGGAAACTGACTTATGACTGGATTGACTTCAGGTGTTTCCCAAAGCCTATGCATGACGAATGTAATTATCTTCTCAGCCAATTGTCATGTAGCTTTGCATCCCTTAATGGTTTATAATGAGCTTATGAAGACAAACATTAAGAAGTGTACAATGAGGGACATTCAGACTTCCTACCTGAGCAATGGAGCAGGGTCTGTAGATACAGGAGCTTCATCAGATATCAGAGGACTTGGCGCCAATCGTGGTTTCTTGGCATTCTCTGCTAGTAATTTACTGGAATTCTTCCTCTTCAGGAAGTTCTCACTACTACTACTTCCACCTAAAGATTATAGAAAAATAATCATTTTGATCATTCAGAAATTTTTAACAACAACCCTGAGAAAACTTCAGACTTAAAATAACTGGATCTAGTTCAGAATTCTATTTCCTTCAAATATTGATCTATCTTTAAGTTTTGGTAAGAAACTGAGACACTGTTTAAAACTCAATTCTGAATATTTTGTCCTGTGTTTTTTTTGTGGGCTACTTCACTCTTACTATAAAAGGAAAGGCATGTTTATAAATTCAATAATACTAGTATCTTATAAACTTCTAGAAATCTGATTGGTCGATAATATCTTTGTCATAACATTAATTTACCAATCAGATTTCTCAGTTTTGTTCATATCAAATTATCTTAAAGTTACCATGTTCCTTTTAACAAACACAAGATCAGCATGTAAAAATTTACAAACAAATACCCTCAGAACTGAAAGAAGTAATGAAGACCTTACCTGAATTTTGAAGTTGTTTGATACAAGCAGTATTAGTATTGACTATTTTCTTACTCTTACTAGCGAAGTTTAGAGTACAGTAGGTATCATAGTAGTAATGTTCTTCTGGTGCTATATTAGTTATCATTAATGAATGACACGATCCACCAATAGAGTCCTGTTTATAACAAATAGAATAATATCAACTGAATATTACCACATTTAAAATCGAACTTTAGTACACTGAAACTGAAAGTAATTTAAGACAAAACTCTTTAGAGTAACTTGGACATACGCTGTCAACTTCATCAAAATGATGGTAAATGTTCACCAATACCCTTCAATGAAATACAACAAATATTTTGTGGTTTTGATATTTGCACTGAGTCTACTACTACCTCATGTAAGGTAGTTCAAGGCAGGAGCCGGGGCTCTCACTCCTAATGATTCTCGAGATTGTTGGTACTCTGGATCAGCTGGGGTTCCCTAATACCTTATCTATACCTTACAACAGGGAATTTGATTATAATAGAGATATGATATTACCTGTAAGAGTCTGGTCAGTTTACTATTTCTATATGGTATTCTGGGCTAGAACAAACAGTAAAAATATCTATTATTCAATATTTATACTTAACTATTATTCATATGTTGATGATAGAAGATTCCAGCTTCTAATATCTATGATGTCACATGATTTTCAAACCAGCCAATCGACAAACTTCTATATACAGTTTGTTTTGTAAATATGAACAGTTACACAAAACATGAGAATATTTAGGCAAGTCGTCTCATTTGAAAAATGGCATTTTGATTGGTTAAGTGAACCAATAGCCATTTATTCATTGAAAAAGGGGCGTGGCTTAAACAACTCTAAGTTAAATTTGACTTGGTATCATTCGTACCACAAATGTGATTGAAAAGGCTTTACCTGGTTGTTATTTATAGCATCAACCACTTCACCAAGTACAAACAATGATTTATTGATGGCTCCACTTTCTTTTAATCTATAATAGAATAAAATAATGACAGAGCTACCACCTCTTCCTAATTCCCAATTTGATCCATCATTGTACATCTGGGAGAATTGAAAACTCAATTCCCTGATATCTACTCATCTAAGGACATCAGAGACTTGTCACCCTGTAGCAGTCAAAATTCATCTCTTGAAGATTAAGAGAAGAGGGTTTTTATACCACTCAATATACAAAGAATTGTAATGCTTCCAAACGTTAGCCAGTGTCGGCTATCAACCCCTTCCACTTATCCAAGCCCTCTATTCATTGCTATATGTATATCTCTTTATCTTACCTTATTCCTTGATTACCAGTACGTCTGTTGTCTTCAGATCCAGCTAAATCTATTAAATATATCTTGCCATGATATTCACGTTTTGGTGGCATCAGAGCTGATTTCTTTATTTTTAACATTACTATACTGTGACTACGACTTGATCTATCATTTAATTTAGTAGCGGCTACAGTTCTGTAAGAACATGAATTTGAGGAATATATTTCTTTAAGCGAATGACAGTTTCAGGGTTAAGCCCTACTATAGTTATGGGAGGAAACAAGGTTGAATTAGATATGAAAAATCTACTAAAAAAAATAATCTGTGCATGAACAATATCAGGTCAAGTTTACAATGAAATATTTACCATGACAACAGTGATAAACAAGAATATATTTGTATTACCTATTGTTAGTGGCTGGACCAAAATAATTCTTAAAATCATCAAAACTAGATATTTTCTTCTCTGCAAGACCAGCTACAAATATATTACGGTCTCCATCTTCTCTGATAGGTAAATCTATTGACGCAGGCTCCAATAAGTCTTGTACCTAAAGAAATGTAAGAAAAGTATAACAACTTTGGTTAATACACCTGTTTCCTCCTGTCTAATTGCTATTTAGAAACTCTCCTGGATAACATATTCTGAAACCTGTCTGAGCTGGGTTCATCAGAAAAGTCATCATCCATTTCTATTGAGTTTTCGATTTCAACCACAATTTCTATTATTAACAGAATCGATGATTATTCTTCAATATATCAACCATCCTTCTTATTATTAAGACCTTATAAACCCTGAAAATTTTATGGCACACCCAGTTAATGATGGACAAGTACAGATGAATTAGAACACTTTGCTGGGATAACTAGAATTCCTTCAAAAAGTACCATACCTTTTCATTGTATATCTCTAAATAAGAGAAGGTTACTGTATATTTCCACTGTAACCTATCTTCAGTAGAAAGGAGTTGGAATAAACCATTGATAACTCTGGGTATCATACCAGGGTCTGCAGGAGAGCCCAACATAGTGTGCGTTTTCCCTATAAGAGATAATTTGATTGGCGGAATTATTAATATTATATATAGAATTTTCTTTGATAGGATAATATTTTAACATAAAGTATTTTCACTGTTGAAATAGCACAAAATATTGTAGAGAGATAAAGAAATATTTCATGTTCTAAGTATATATTTTTATTAAGATAAGAGAATGTAACCAACCTGCTCCTGTTGGACCATAGGCGAAGATTGAGATATTTTCACCATTCAGTGGTTTAGACAGTAGGTTTTTAATACTGTTGTTATAAATATATTGTTGACCACACGTTTCATCATAAACTGAGCTAAAACTGTAAAAGTCAAACATACATCAATTTTGACAGTCAAAAATGTCAACTTCGACAGTCAAACACATGTGAATAATAATCATCATGTTCTACAGTCAAACACACAATAATAATCATCATGTTCTACAGTCAAACACACAATAATAATCATCATGTTCTACAGTCAAACATACAATAATAATCATCATGTTCTACAGTCAAACACACAATAATAATCATCATGTTCTACAGTCAAACATACAATAATAATCATCATGTTCTACAGTCAAACACACAATAATAATCATCATGTTCTACAGTCAAACAAACAATAATAATCATCATGTTCTACAGTCAAACACACAATAATAATCATCATGTTCTACAGTCAAACACACAATAATAATCATCATGTTCTACAGTCAAACACACAATAATAATCATCATGTTCTACAGTCAAACACACAATAATAATCATCATGTTCTACAGTCAAACAAACAATAATAATCATCATGTTCTACAGTCAAACAAACACAAATCAATTTCAACAGTCAAACATACAATTATCATCAGTTTTAACTGTCAATCAAACATACAAATAATCATCAATAGTAACAGTTGTTATTATACGATTATCAATGCTCTAGGAGATAGCCTAGTGCCAGCAATGAAATTCATTTAAGATTCTTCAACTTCCAACCGAGACTTTATATTAGAAAAAGCTTATGTTTTTAGTTGTCTGTCAAATTATATCAGACCTCGTATATCTCTATTGTAAACAATTGTAATAAAACTTACTCATAAAGTAGATTTTCTCTGATGTTTCTATGATTCAATATTTCAACTGTAGGTTTCTCACATTCTGTATTTGTTACAACACAGCACTTAGAGTTCTCTTTTAACTGTGGTCTGACTCTAACCACTACCTTCACTTTGGTTTGCTTCTTATCACCCATTTTAATGATTACAGGGCACCTTCTGCAAAAAAATTAAAATAAGTTGCAAGCTACATATCAAATTTTCTTTGAATAACATATATAGAACCCTACTTAGTTAACTAATAGAAAGGTTGAATCACATTATGCCAATTATTTTATGACATAAATTGACATTTATCAACTCAGTGTGGTCAATGCATTAGAAAAAACCCCACTCTTGAACAAATTTTCATTTAGAAACTTTATTTGCCATAACCAGGAGCCAAGACATGGAGGAGGAAATTTTCAGTAAAAATATGGTCATTTCCACATATGGTCATGGCTATGACTGAATGTGTTACTGTTTATTTGAGGGGTGTAAAATAATCAAATTGAAATTTCATGTACCAAAAGACAATAATATAACTTTCAAATTTTACAATTGAATAAATCATAAATGACAGTAATGTGTTGTTTTTGTTGTTGTTGTTGAGGTCAGGTGCTTTTTCTAAACAGCGACTGTGTAGTCTGGAAATTATCATCCCTTTCAGCTGCTTAATGTAAATGAATCGTATCTCCACCAATCACAAATGCATTTATATCTTTGCGCACACGGAATTTACAAATTAGACCATAGATTATACTGATTGACTAAATTTATTGCTTATTTATGAAATGTACCTCTTTGAAAATGGCTCCTTCTTCTTCGAACGCCAATCAAAATTAACCGGAAGTTGATTTTTGGTAAAATCATAGGGACTAGAAATTAATTGATATATAGCCATTTTCATACGTAAAAGATTTAACTCAGCTCCGAATATTTTTCTCTCATAATTCTAGATCTTTTGAAAATGAAATGTTTTTCCAAAATCTTGATAAAATTTGTTTTAGAATCCGACAAAAACATATGCAAGTTTCGAGCACCTGTGTATGTCATGAACTTTTTCAAAGGGAAGTAACTGGTTTATTTATTTCAGAGCAATGGCCGCAGTTGCTGTTCCACCTCGAAGTTTCAACAAACATGGTAACAAATCACACACTCCAAAGAATGAAAAAGATTCTCTTGAAATACTCATGCAGATGGGATTCCCAGAAAACAGAGCGTAAGTTACTGCCAACTCTTGACAAATGACACATACATTAGGATTGTCAAATTTAAAGCTACCATGCTCAAAAAAGTGAAAGTTCGATGACGATAATTAGACCTACTCCCTGACGGCACTGTTGCAGTTTCGACCCCTTTTCCTTCCCTCTCTGACTACATGGAGCTTTGAATTGATTTTGTTTCTTTCATTTCATAAATATTCAACTGTAACTGTATCTCATTTGTCTTAAAATGTCTTCAAATGTCTTCGGGTCCATAGAAATAAAAGGTTCAGTGAATTTACATTTGTATTAGATCCACTTCCCTCACAGAAAAATCATGTGAAAATGACAGGCCTACTATGGACTGATTCCCTCTGTAAAATAAGTAATAACTTTTCTAGTGTTAAAAAATTTCATCAATGGCAATCCAAGACCTTTGGTGATATTTTGAAAAAAATTGTCGAAATTCAATTCAGTAAATATTGTAGTCAGAGAGAGTTAGATAACTTCCTTGTATAATAATAGTAAATTGTGTCATGAAAACATTGACATGATCTCTTTATTATCATTTCTAAGTGTTATAAAAGAATTAACAATAATTTGAACTCATATTTCTATTGAACTAGTAGAAATAACAACAAGTCTCTCAATGTGCTTAAATATTCCTGAATTGAGAAAATGTATTAGGCTAGCAAAGAGATTAGGGAGGTTGAAAAGAAACTAGTTACTATTGACAAGCAAAGCAACTAGTCACTATTCGACAGAAGGCACTGGTATAGGTTTAAAGTTGTGTTTAAATGTGTTTTCATGTTTATTTAAAATGAATTAAAATCGAAGAAGAAAATCATATATGGTTGTCATCTATATGATAATACATGGACTTAAATGGATAATACATTTACTAATTAGCAATACATTTACTAATTAGCACTAACGATGATAGTAAATCAGGACATTTTTTTTTGAATTATTGTTATATTATTTAAATGATAATGGACTCTATGCCTACTGATGATTAATTTTCTATTCTGTTCAATGGAAAGAAAAACCTTTTGTACATGTGACATGTTTAGATATAGATTGGAGCCAGAAAATTCTGTTTTCCACTCTCCACCCGAATAATAGGCCTACTAGATTGAGAGTATGTGAAAATGAGTATACCTGTGGTTGTTGTGTTAAAATATCTCCGTCAAAGTGAATGTGATACTAGTTTTAGTGAGGGGCCTTTGATAGGAAAATGCCTATAACATCTCTATTTTTCTAATAAAGTAATTTTAGAGAGAAAATTAGGCAGTGTTTTATAAGTGTATATTAGTCCACTTGGTCACAATTTCTCTCATTTAGTGAAAAGTGACTAATATCATGCATGGGTGTTGTCATCTTTATTTGAATAATTGACTAATTCAAAGTTAACCTGTTTTGTCATTTAAACATTAAAGCTATTATTCTCTTACAGAATTTGAAATTTAAAATGACAATTTATTATAACAAGAGTGAATAGGTTAATTATATGTTATTTAAACACTTTTTCAATTGATACTTTTACAAAAATTTCTCTGATTTTGTATTACCAACATTTAAATAAGAACTTTCTCAGGTAATCTATGAATCAAGTTTTGAGTAGTCTAAGTGTATTATTTTTAGTCTAAACTTTTACACATCACTTTCACGTTAATGAAAATGGTTTTCTTCTTATGCATTTCCAATATTTAAATTTTGAACTGCACCCTTTTCCCCAAATTATCTTACAATGATTTATTTTTAGTACTAGCATGCACTTTATTATCTTCAATTTTAAACTTTTTATCTCAGATTTTTTAACTAATATAGAATTTTATCTTGTATTAATTGTTTTTAACAGATTAAAATCACTAGCTTCAACTGGAGATAAAGGTGTGCAACTGGCATCAGATTGGTGAGTTGAATTTCTAGGTTATCAAAAGCCATTATTTGACATTTTTGGGGCTTGATTTTAATCTTGACTATATTTAAATAGTCTTCAGAACTAGATCTGCACATGGTCCATTATGTAAACAATAAACATCAAACTGGAAATTTTTCTCTTATTTTCTGTCTTTTCTATTTCTTTGCTATATGTCTATATATTGTGGAGTATCAAGAACAGATGAGTCCTCTTTTTAAATTTCATAATCTGGACACATATAGGTTTTGATGGTGAACAGTAAACACTATTACAGATAAACTTAGCTAAAAAATTCTTGTTCCTGAGACTAAGGTACAATTAGTCAAATGTGTCCCTTTATTTATATTGAAGAGATTTGCTAGCCTATATATGTATTAGAGACATATTATACTTGAGTCAAGTTTAATCATTGATTCTTATTATTAAATAGGTTATTAAGCCATGTTAACGACATCACATTAGATGAAAAAGTCGACCGTGATTATATCTTATATTTATGTCCAGTCGGAGGTCTTCAAGCTGAACTCAATGCATTCTGGGAGAAATCGCAGAATTTATGTGGATGGAATGGTGCACATGCTTATTTTCCTCACGTTACGTTGTGTGGATTTTTTAAGGTGGGTAATGGGTTTAATTTTTTTTCAAAACTCAAAAACCCAAGTACTAACGATCTGAACTGCAAAACAAAACCTGAAATCAAAACAATACTTTGGGTTAACATTGATAGCAGCAACCAAACTTTTCATTTAAGTAAGAATATCAATCATAAATGAGAAAGTATATTATAATGAAAAGTAATATCAGATATCTAGAAGCATACCCAGCCTGTCACAACACCTGAAGTGACCCAGAACATTAAGACGAAAAATGAATATTATATTATCAGAATATCACACAAGTTTTGTATTTCTATTTTGAAATTTGAAAAAAATAATTTTATTTTTATCTTAAGTCAAAATTAATGAGCCTGAAGTGGTATTTAATTTCTCAATTTATTTAATATATTGTTTATCTTGTATCTTGTAGGTATCAGACAACAAATTAAAGTTTCTCACTAATGCCTTTTCTAACTTGGAAGCAAAGATACAAAATCTACCCCCAACGTTGAAATTAGAATTCTTTGCCCAAACCAGTTTTATTGGTTTATTTATTGGAGGAGAGTATTATGATATTCTCAAAAAACTGGTTGAAGAATTTGCTGCAGAAGTCAAAAAGGGAGGTAAGCTGGATATCACTGTCATTTAACATGGATTGAAGGGAAAATTTATAACAGGTTGTCATCGAGGCTGGATATAGTGTGCCAGTTATCTATTTGAAACCCCTCAACTTTATAATGAACTCTGAGACACATGCATTTTTTGTACCAATGTGAAACTGTATATGAATTTTCAAATCAACATGGCTAAAACTAGTACATATTGCTATCCTATTTTACTTTAGCAGGTAATCCCCAATTTTGGCACAGAGGTAAATATGATATCACATGATTTATATGCCTCATAGGAAGCTATTGGAGAAAGTGAACAATGGATTATCTATTTATCAACAAGGGCTGGGGTGGAATGGGTGGGGGGAAGGGTCTGAAAGAAAAGCCATTTGATCAATTTTAAAAACATGCATTTTTTTTAAAACAGAGCTACTCAAGATTTTTTGATTCATTTTGACAACCAGGTGTTGATATATTGGAATTTTCAGGGATCATAATGGAACCTCCGAAGAAACAATTCCATATATCCTGTGCATACCAATATACACCTGAACACCACGACACATTGTGTAAACTAGCTCATGAAATACATCTTAACTGTGATACACGCTGGGACCTTAGATTATATTCCAGAGATCCTAAAGTTGGAAAGTTTGAGGTATGTTTTATATAATGTTTATGCACTAACTCAAATACACATTTCATTTCGTTCCATTTCAAATACACATTTGGTGCACACACACGGGCAATAAGGTAAAGGAGGTGTTTCTTTTCTAAAATCATTGGCACTCTCATCTTTGTTCCAGGAGTTCAAGGGATAGCATCAATTTGCACCATTCTGATTTTCAATCAGATATCTGTGGTTCCTTTGAACACAGATGCACAAACAGGTAAAATACTGGTTCTAGTCTGGACACTTGGTAAGTATTTCACCATATTAATATGGTATTTTATAAAGAGTACACAAGGTTTTGAGACTACTAACCTATTTATATGGTATTTTATTAAAGGTACGTAAGGTTTTAAGACCGTACCAGCCTAAGATGATGGATGAACTAGAATTAGTAATTGGTGATTATATACTTATTGACCCATCAGAAGTATCTAACAGTGCAGATAGTTGGTATAATGGTGTGCTGTGGTCAACTGGTGTTCATGGTGCTTTCCCTGGTACATTTACTAAACGTACTGCAGAAACATGGACATGGACATTACACAAGTAAGAATACTTTTACTTTATGGCTATCACTATTGACTATCAATTAACTCTGTGTTAACAGACTTGGTATTGTAAATATTACAGTATCAGAATCTATTCCTTTATTTTCAAAGTCTTGCTAGAGAATCATACGAGACTATGAACACTTCTTACATAAAAATTAAAGACACAAACTTAAAGGACCCTCACACAATAGTGATCACCAGTTGCATATATAAATAAGTATAGTGGTCATAAATTTCACACTCAACTCTCATGTGAGTTGTATTAGGATGCGTTGCCACTTTCATTATTTGCAACCATATGCAGCTGGTAATCGCTACAGTATAAGGCACCTTAAGATGACACCATTGAATCTGGATATTTTGTTGCATGATTTTGTAGATGGTGACTTCACTTGCCATTCATGATCAAACTAAATAGTTTTGCGCCTTATGTTGTGGATCTTATTCAACTTTTAACCGTGTTTGTGATTCTCGGTAACTTTTAATGTTATTGTGTAAATCTACAGAACACTGTTTGAAGAGGAAACTTGTCAGATCATGGATGGCAAATATGTAGGAACCTGCAAAAAACATGAAACAATATATCTAGATCTGTGTTTTAATCAGATTGGAGAACAGCAACCCTTGTAAAGAGGTTTTATAAATTTTTTATGTGTATCATTACACAGATAGCACCAAATTACACCATTCCAACAGATCTTTTGTTCTTGAAATTTTTTCAGAAAATTAGAAGAAAAAAACTTGATACTATCAGTGTCCTTTACAAAGACACAAAGTTTAGAAAACCTCTTTACAATCACTTGGATTATTACACATAATTTTGATGAAACTATTTTACGACAATTCAGGTCCATACCATTAAAATTTAAAGAAAAATCAGTAGAAGAAAGAAATGGTATAGTAGGTAATCTATTTCATACAGCATCTGATCCTGTTTATGCCAAGGTTAGTAACAATTTAATTATAATTAGATTACAATGAATAAACCAAGTACTTAACGATCTGAATCATAAAATGAAGCCCAAAAGCCAAACAATATATTGGCCATATTTTGGCTAATGACTGTCCATACTTGTTTCTAGGTACACAAAGACAAAAAACATAAACATGTTCGTAATTTATTTGTAATGAGACATGGAGAAAGGATTGATTTCTGTTTTGGACGAGATTGGACAGAAAATGTATTTGATGAGGATGGTAAGTCTTATCAATGTTAGATTATCAGAAATGAAATGGAGTTTTACGTCATACATTTGCTGCACCTGTTTTAGCTTGTGAGGACGAGCCATGCAGTGTGCAATGAGGGAAATTTTGCTAGGATAGCCTGGTGCAATAAGCACAATTAATACACTTTTTTTGCCTTCCAACTGTCTTTAACATGCATAGCCTTAATCACCTGGAGACTCAGAATACTGTTCCATCTAAACAACTTGATGTTTTTTCAGTGTCTAATATGTATCACTGACAGGGGGAAACCAGGTTGACTTGTATGATCATTGGACAATGTTCAAGGGCTATTATTGATCTGTTAGCTACTTGAAGTAATATTTAGAATCAAAAGCAACTTCCATCATGGATTTTATTCTGAATCTTATTTGTGCAATTAACAAGTTAAATTAAGGATTAAATATATCTGTGTTAATTTAAACAAGTTGTTAAATTTTGTGGTTGTATTTAGATATATAGTTTATTTTCTACAGGTAAATATCATCGTAATAATCTCAATTTACCAAAAACCATGTATAAACGGAAGAATCATTTAGAGTACATTAGAGATTCACCTTTAAGTGAAACTGGTAAACATCAAGCAAGATTGACAGGTATGTTGACATTTGTTGACTGGCATGTTTACATCTTTCTAGGTTGACAGATGTGTTAATAAATAAATAAATCAAGTACTAACGAGCCGAAACGCAAAACGAAACCCAACATCCGTAACAACATACTGACGAAATATTGGTAACAGCTCATGAACTTTTCACATGAGGAAGTATATCTATCATATGTGAGTAAGTATTTCATAATGAAAAGTGGTACCAGGTGTCTAGAATCTTGATTAACTGATGTGCCCGCAATAGTTGTCTTTTGTAGGATATTCTCAAATCAATGTAATTTAGTTAGCATTATGTAATTAATTGATTATTTCAGGTGCTGCTTTTAGAGAAGAAAATGTTTCTGTATCTCATATTTTTGCTTCACCAGCCTTACGATGTGTGGAAACAGCTCAAGCATTTCTTGAAGGTTTGATATGTTATTTTGTTTTCTGGAAAATTGTATCTTTACACTCTAGACATGGAGAATTTATATTGGAAATTGAATTATAACATATTGTGTCTATATTTATCTTATTGAATCTTTACATCTCTTTTATAGAACCTCTGGTATATCTATGTTTCTTTAGCAATAGTACAATATTATACACATCTAGGATATGCTAGAGACATACTGTATATCTAGCAATATTACTTTGGTGGCTGATGTAATGACAATATTTAGTGCACGGGAACCAATTATCTATTTATAGCTAGTTTGACTGAAATGAGTAGAAAAGATGATCATTTCTGCATTCTGACCACGATTAGAACTTGCTGCTACCATTATTTTGATATAACCCAGGAAATGACATTCTAACTTTTTAAATGGCTGAAATGTTGCAAGATTTCCATTAATTGATAATTTATTAATCTATATATAGGTTTTAGTGGAGGCCATCTGAAAATCTGTATAGAGCCCAGTTTATTTGAGTATTTAGGTTGGTACCATCCTATTATTCCAATATGGATGAAGCCAGAGGAACTCCATAAACAAGGCTTCAAAATCAATACAGGTTATACTCCATTCCTGGCAATCAAAGACATGAATTTAGATGAAAGTATTCAAGAATGTTATGATCGTACTGCTAACTTCTCCAGATTTGTGGTGAAAAAACTACCACCTGATGGTAAGTTTCAGTTTTATATTCTCCCTTTGAATCATAGTCAGGATGATGTGCAAAAAATGAAATGAATGGAATCCTACATCCTGCTTTTCTACATTTTGCCAGTGCAGCCTCCTTTTTTCAATATCCAACTGTGGAGAGATCTTTATTAGTTTATTGATCTATCTGAATGATTAGATGTTTTTTTCATGTCAGCCCCTCTGACCTGCATCACTTACCAGGTTGAAAAATCCATAATATATCTCGACTTATGCTGGACCTTCAGACTAGTGAGCAAGCATCTAACTCATTAAGCCACTGCAGCTCTATTAATTCTCCATGGAGACACTTTAGGTGCAAATAGATGAGGAATGATGTTGGTTGGGGAGTTCATTGCTAGAATATTGATTGAATACAGTAGAAAGTAGCAAATTGTGTCTGGACCTCATGTACAACCTATAGCCTTATGTTGACTAGAATAATAATCTAATCAAAACAACTTGAGACTGTTTAAAATATCAAAACCAGACAGAAACAACAATGACAAAATGAGGAAAATGGTAAACAGCTTTCATTCCTTTTCTAGGTAATGTTCATTTTGTTTCTGTTTCATTTCTCCTTTCGTTCTTTTCTAGGTGGTAATATATTATTAGTGGCACACGCTGGAAGTTTAGATATGTGTACTCATCAACTTTGTGGCCTTAATGCCAAGTCAGCCACTGATTTTCACCTACAATTAACTAGTATACCTTATTGTGGACTATGTATGGTACAGGAGGATATGGAGGCCAAGAAATGGATAATGAAAGAACCACCAATTCCATCTCTTATACATGGTTCCAACAGATCTTTTGATTATAAACTTCTACAGGCAAATTTTCAAAAATAGGTACATATAGTTCTAATTTGGGTTTTAAAATGAAGATGGTGATCATTCTTGATAATTCATACTACAAGCAAGCTTATTATACTATTTACTATTACTCATTACTTATTCTTCTGTGATTTCTATTTGGTAGTAAACTGTTGCTTTATTAGGTCTAAATAAGGCAGTTTCTCACAAATAGGTCCATAATACCAATCACAAAGCTCACAAAAATTTTAGGTTAAAACAAGTCTTTGTTCAATCACTTTTTTCAGTCATTGCAGATTTATGTATGATAACCAGGGCTTTTAATTTGGCCTTATATGCCGGACATTGATAACTGAAAATATAAAATGTGCCTCATCCTCACAAAATGTATAGATTACCTCATGCCGGTTCCTGCCTAATATATAGACTAAATGGCTTTCACCAGGCTCTGTTTCTCAAGAATTTCACAATCAGTTTCTTTGGATATTAGTGAACTATTTCTCAATGTAGATATTAGATAACATACTTTTGTCATATATATTCTGTACTGTTCTCAATGAACAGTAATTGTAACAATTGTTCATAAAACTTGTTGAGAAATGTGATACTGAAGAAGAGTTTTATAACCCATTTTACTTACATATAAACATTAACTTTTAATAAATACATTGTTATTTCTTTGTAACTCGGGGAAAAAAATGAACTTTTGAAGTTTGTTATGATTTACGAAAGATGAAACTACTGTAGGATATAAGTAAAATGAATTGTAGAGAAATATGTCTGAAGATAAATAATATCGATCCATTTTTAACAGAAAAACTAGGTCAACCTGCTTTGATTAACAATTTCAATTAACCTTTTTAAAACAAATTCAGTTTGATCATAGATATAAATAGCATACTTTAGAAATATTTTCAGGTTTTTGATCATTAAACTTTTACATTCTGCCCCTATAAGACAGGATTCAACATCAGATGATATTGTTTTGATTGAAATATTTAATATGAGTATAAAATCTGTATTCAGTTTGACAATGATGATGACTTTTCCTCAGACATTGACAATTTCTTACGACTATTTTATTTTCAAGAAAAAGAATATGAATATTTAAAAGGTCGCCAAACAGCTGAATCCTGTTATAAATTATGTATCGCTGGTCACAATTATTATGCTAGGAACAAAAAGGGATCATAATTTCAACATCCTTATAGTACTTTATTATAATATTATAATATTGTGTTCAGATATATTTTTTCACCGGGAGTAAACAGTCAATTAGAGAAACATGTCAACTTTCGTGTTCAATTACAGCATTACCAGCCGAGTTTAATTTAAGCTCTTCAGAGCCTTTTTAGATGTAGAGAATTTTTTGTGATATTACTAATATTGATAATTTTAATTATTAATATAGCTTTGTATTTTAGAATTATTTTTGTATATATTTGTATTTGTTTCATACACTCTCTTTATTATTATTATTATTATTATTATATTGTATGATGTGTACTGTTAATACAGCTGAGATATTTATACACTTTAAGGATGAAGTTTGAATTTGAGATCTAATTAGTTGGAAATTGAAACTTTACAATAAAATATAAACCAACAAGTAGGCTTACTAACAATCAAAGACAGATCGATTTAAGAACTCCCCATTAAACATGCTATTTCATACACTAATTCACAGTTATACAGGATATTCATTACCATAGATAAACTGACTTTAATTATGATTTTTTTTGTATAAGCTTATGCACATTTTAGCTAGACATATTATTCATATGAGAAAGGACAAAATATTTCTTAAAAAGAGAAATTCGTGACTATTCTTGTACTTCTATATTTTATATTGACTTATTAATATGTTTAAGATCTTGGTGTGTTTCAGTGAGGAGGCAGTATCTACCATTAATAAAATATGTAAATTGTATTGTGTCACTGGAAATTGTTTTGGCCACTGCCTTTCAAGCACACAGGTTCCCTACATGTGATAGATTTATTAATGAATTGTTATTACTCATGAACGTTGTTATTATGAATTGTTATACTTGTTATTGGAATGTTATTGTTATAGAAATTGTATTGTTTATTAGATATATTCAATATTAGTACAAAATTCAGATTAAAACAACTATTTTTGTGCATCTGTGTATATTTGTGGAAATCATTTAATTTTGCAATACATGATAAATATGATTATGAAATGCTTATGATCTAGGACAAAAAAAAGATATCAAATGCCTTTGATCTAGGACAAAAAAAAGATATCAAATGCCTGTGATCTAGGACAAAAAAAAGATATCAAATGCCTGTGATCTAGGACAAAATAAAGATAACAGATGCCTGTGATCTAGGACAAAAAAAAAGATAACAAATGCCTGTGATCTAGGACAAAATAAAGATAACAGATGCCTGTGATCTAGGACAAAATAAAGATAACAGATGCCTGTGATCTAGGACAAAATAAAGATAACAGATGCCTGTGATCTAGGACAAAAAAAAGATATCAAATGCCTTTGATCTAGGACAAAAAAAAAGATATCAAATGCCTGTGATCTAGGACCAAATAAAGATAGCTAATGCCTGTGATCTAGGACAAAATAAAGATAACAGATGCCTGTGATCTAGGACAATAAAAAATCTGTGAAACAATTAAAAATCTGGGAACCTAACCATCCTATTTTTATTAACATTTGTAATCACTTTTCATTTTATTGAATATTTTTGTCATTAACTATTAATATCACTTTACGTATTGCATTGAATTGCTTCCCTTTAATAGATTCTATGAAATTATGGTGTGATATATTTCTTCGACATGTTGTCTTACTAAGACAGGGTATACCTCAGATGTCATTAGACTTACTAATAAGACAGTGGCTATGCACAGTATAATCTCTCAAAAGATAAAGCCCAAGTTTCCAGCAACCTGTAGCGCTTTTCAAAATAAAAAACTGTCTACAATTAAAGTGTTACTGATTGTTTCTCCTTTTTCTAGTGACTTCACATTTCAAGATCAAAATTACCTATTGATAAAAATAATTTGGTTTCCTTGATTGTAAAAAAGTTCAATGTCAGTATTTTAATTTAGAAACGTAATACCGTAATGATAAAAAATAAGAACTACACAGTAAATGCAATCTAATGCAGAAAAAATTGAGTGAGTGTCTATCAAAGAATTGTTTAGTTTTCTATTTAACTATGTATTATGCTAAGGTATCCTAGGGTATCCATCAACTAAATTTAAATCGATAAAAATCTGTGTAAAATGGTTTATGAGTCTTCTGTTCATTGTTCAAGATAGGATGTGTTATATATAAATCATAATTGATGTGGGTTCTAATGTGGGTTGCAATGTATATGTAACCAGCTGTAACTGTTCGGTCAATAATTCTAATTCTTCAGTGTATTTTGTTAAACAATATTGTTCATATATATTAAATATCTTTTATATAACATTTTACTTGGCACCAATCTCTGTTTTCTTTACCCCGCCTTCTAAATTTATTGGCAATGGTGGAAATGGCAATTTAACATGAGAATGATGTGTCGCTTTAAGATTTTGTGCCCTTCACTTCCTAGTTTTTAACAATAACCAATGAAACCAGGGGCAGCAGGGTGAAGGGGGCGGGGGTTGACCTCCTCAAATCTGCCATAGTAGGCCTGTGCCTATGTCCTTCCGCATTTGGAATCTCAGTCCAGACTAGTTGTGCTCCTGTTCTCCCCCGATTTCGTCAGTCTGTCTCCTATTCAAATCTGAGTACCAGAAAACAGGACAGGACAAAACCTTCAAGTTTGAGGGTAAATGTCACTGTCACATATTTAGTTGTGATAAGAGTAGGTCAGGTACCAAGCAGTCAGTTGTGTAGGTTCTGGGAAAGGAAGGGGTACTTTAGGTTATGACTATCTCTATAAAAATAAAAACGATTCTTTGAACTCCGATATTCCAAAGACACCGCTTTGACTTCAAAAAATAAATGGCATGCACTGTAACTACAATGGGTCAGTGGCGACTGCCAAAAATATTTTATTCCTTTCCCACGGCGTCAGTGTGACAAAAATTTATAATTCTGCATTTTATGCCATTTGAAAGAGTCTTTGAACATGCCCCTTCCAACCCCTCCATTCTTTGGATTCGCGACTATGGTGAGTAGTTCTTTTCCACCTGGACAACATCAAAAGTATCTATTGATAAAATGGTAGAAAGTATAAGACTGGTCAAGAATTGAATCAGGAACTAAGAACTATGTAATAGCTAACTAGTAAATCAGTGTACTCTGGTCACGATATTTAAGTAATTGTAACTATAACAACTAATATAGGTGAACTTCAATTTAATTACAAGAAGATGTTCTAGTCCGAAACTTTCATAGTGCTTTTCTCAACTCTAACCAACTTGCTGGGTATTCGTAGTCAATCAAGTCTATGATATCTGAATTTCGAGAATGGCAGAATTTCTTCTTAGACCTTTTTTCTGACTTTTTTTGCGTTTACTGACAAGGGGTGGTGGATATCAGGTACTAAATGAAGGCTAGATCGCAATAACCATAGTTATGATAGGTGTCAGCACCTTACCATCTGACTAGTCAGCTCATTATTAACTGCTAAGCAGATGCTCAAGTAGCCATCAGAGAGTTTCAGGCAACTTACAGCGATAACTGTCCAAATGGCTATAAGAGATTACATGTAAGAGCTAGCAACTCCGCGGATGGTCCAAGAATAGCTTTCAGTGACCAGATCAGATCCAGTAGCTCTATATAGCTGATCTAGAATTCCCAAATTACATTCCAGAAACTGAGCAAGAACCAGCATCTCTGAAAACAGCTACATCAGGGACTATATAATATAATCGTCTTCTTTACCTGTAATTTAAGTTATCAGACTGGCAAGAGTCACCAAGTCATAAACTAGCCAACAACCATCGTATACATGTATAGCTACCACAGACAATGTGTATATGGGCCAACAAGTTCCAAGCACTGGTGTTAACATAGTGAAAGAATGACATGTGGCCCCTCTGGAAAATTTTGTTTTAA